GCGCGTGCTATGTAGGGTTGTTGTTTGTTCGTTTGTTTGTCTGTTCATATGTATGTTTGTTCATTTGTCTGTTTATATATATGCTTGTTTTTTCGTCTGTTTGTATGTATGTATGTATGTTTGTTCGTTTGTTGTTAGTTAGTGTATTTTTTACTGTTGTTCTATTTGTTTTCTTTATCGTTGCCTTTTTTGTTGTTGTAAACACTCGCCAAACTATTATTGCTAACCTCATTGATACCACTTCTCTTTAAATTTTTCCCACTTCAATTAAACCTATTGTAAAAAAACTATAGAAACCAAATCAGTGAGAAAGAGTTAAGTACTGACATTTCTAAAAGTTGTACTGGCACGGAATGAAGAATCTTGATAAATTTTTAGGAGCTCATTGAAGCATGATTGCCTAATTGGATGAGATTTACTGCAAGAGTTTGATGGCATTGAAATGATGAATGGTGGGAGAGATAAGATAGGAAGAGCAGCCACACACTAGCAGCCACAGACTACTGACTTCATTCAAATGCTTAACTCGCTTTGCAACTGTTAAGATGAGATTGTTGATTGAAACAGTTCAAGTAGTTGAAACTTTTATAAGTGTTTTAATTGGTTTTTTGACGAGACGTTTATAAAAACTTTGCTGTTTCAGTTTTTTTTCTATGTAATTACCTAAATGATAGTGAATGTATATAACGTGGAAAATAAAGCCTTTGAAATATAAAAATACAGATGAAATTTTTTACTGCATCTCATTGAAAATTTTGGAGTGGTGTGTTTGATTGGCGTGTTACTGTTGATTTGTTGTTGTTTTTTTATTTTTTACAGGTAACAACAGATACAACAACACAATTACATTATCTTATTTGTTTCCATGTATGTGATGTTTCCATTCGTAGGTTTTCTGCTTATCCATTTGTTTCCACGTTTTGAATATAAAAATTCTTGAAGGAAATAATCCATCTAAGCTGAAATTTCAAAACAATGGATTAAGAATTGTAATTATTCTATATTATATATGTGTGTGTTTTTGTATTTATATGTGTGTGTTTGTGTGTGTGTATGCAAGTGTTTGTGTGAAAGAAAAAGATTAAGATGTATAGAAGTTGTTTCATTGCTGAGTGTAGCTGAGAATAACAGTAAAATAAATTACAAACAATAATAAGAAGAATATATAAAAGTAATAATAATAATAAAATTACAGAATAATGTAAATAATAATGAGCTTATTTTAATGAAATGATTAAGATTAAATCTGAAATGACAATGTTGGCTGTTGAACTAACGCTGCCAACGATGTTTTGATTTTGTTTAAAAATAGAATTCCTGAAAAAGAGATAAATTTATTTTCAAAAGATTCCAGAACTTGCTTTAATTATATTTTTATCTAATTGCGCCTTTGTTGATTTTATTTAATGATAATAAATGTTGGTATTAATTAATAATAGGAAGGAATAAAGGGCAGCGGAGTTTTTAATTTTCATTCGTTGCTGTAATATTTCCTTTGTATTGGGTCTTTCTTTAATAATGTAAGAAGCAATAAACTTATTCTAAAAATGAAGTACGAGCGGCATGACGGCGTAACGGTAAAGTGCCTGACAATGCTGTTGCAGTGATCGGATTCGATTACAAAGAGATCCGCGCCTATCACATGTAATGTGTTTGATGAGTTGTTTCACGTGTTTTAACATGCACTGTGTGTTTGTTGTTGATATTTTTGAAAAATGTTGTAGATGATGCATGCATGCATGTTTAGCATGGATGGAGGAAGCAGGCTCTGTTACATGACTAACTTAACTGGTCAGCACTTTTTGCGAGTATATTTTGGAGTTGATATTTAAATTTAATCAACCTTTCTTCACTAGATATATTAACGATATCGTAAATTTTTTAAGATTCAACCGTAAGAATTGAGTTTGAAAGAGGAATACTTTGTGTATTTGAGAGCTAATTTCAAAAATTTTTTTTCCAATTTCTAGGTACTTAGTTTATATTTCTGCTCATTTTTTTATTTTTTTTTATTTTTTTTTGTTATTAATTGTTTTTATATTTTATTGTTAATGCTCTCTTAATTATTTCTCAGAAGCTACGACAGTTTCGTTTCAAATATTTAACGCTCATTCCAAATGCTAAACAACTTTCCATTGAATTTTTTAAAACTTTATGAACAGCATTAAAATTTGTTTCATTTTATTTCAAATGTTTATGGAAAAAATTTATGAATTATCTATAAATAAAATTTATGAATTATCTATAAATAAAATTTATAAATTATTTATAAATTTATGTTTTACACATTTTAGGAATATTTAATTAAATAGCAGAGCGGTATACGTTTAAAAAATTATTCTTTCAGCTTGAACACTTTTTGCAGAAATGGAGTGTAAATCGGAGTCTAAACTCCTAGTTATTGCAATAAACGTTTCTTGGTAAAAATAAACAATTACGTTAAACGTTATCGAATTTGCTTATATTAGTTAGTATTTCAGCGTTGTATGAGTGTGCGTGTGTGTGTGCGTGCGTGAAGAGTGTATTTGTAAATGCGTATTTTTTTGTGTGCGTGTGTTTTTTGTGTTGGTGTTGGTGTTTGTGTGTGAATTGAATTTTCTTGGATAGAAAGCCTGGACTGGACAGTTGGTTTTCAGAAGCCCACAAATTCAGTTAATTTACATTTATATATTTCCATGTTCTGGATGTTCAACTTGGCTCAAAAATAATTTCGCATAACTTCTATTGCTGATTTAATCTTTACAATATAATTAATGATGAGATGATCGTTCATCGTCAGATTCTATGCTGATGTATTTCTTGATTTTTGTTGCATTGTTTTGTGTTGTATCGTATCGTATTGTATTGTGTTGTATTGTATTGCACTGTGATGTATTGTGTTGTATTATAATGAATTGTATTGTATTGCTAAGCATTCTATTGTATCGTATCATATTGTATGTATTGTATTGCATTGTATTTTATTTAACTTTTACAGCGCGGAGCTTCTCATTAGGAAACTACAAAAACAGAAGTATTTTGAAAAAATGTGTTTCACCCTTCCTTATCAACTTTCTAACTTTGAAAAATTAAAAATATTCATTTATATTTTAACTGTTTTTCCATTGTTCCAACAACTGATAGACTAATTCGTGGTTGAACTCAAAATCCTTAGACACAAATTCATTCACAAACATTTCCACTCTTGACGAGCGTAACTAAATATAGACATAATAGCACATGTGTACGTACATACCATGGATATGGACATCTATATAATATACCAGGACGGTCAACAACAAGGAAACAATGAAAGTTAACTTTACTGCATAAAACATATATTGCCTTCAAGGGTCCGTTTTCAGAAAATTTTCATTTAAGTAGGCCGTCCAGGTTTACTATATAGAAGTCTATGGTACATACATAGCAGTCACACAGTAAGTTGGGCAGAACGAATGGAACATAATTTTTACATTATGCGACAGATGATGATCACGTGATGAAAACACGACGCCAGTATTTTAATTACAAATTCTTTTTTTCTTTTTTATTATATAAATTAATTGTTGTCTTGGAATGAATTGTTTTTCATTTTTTTTTACATTTTCTTTCATTGTTAATTTAGTTTTAATCTGTTGTTTTTATTGTTATTGTTGATGTTGAAACTGTCATTGTTGAGATTTATACTTATATTGATATAACGATTTGCTGAGAAATTCGTTCGTGGTTTCTCTCGTCTCTTTCTCTTCAATATTCGAATTATTAATTTCAAAGTTTTTGATGAGATGCAAGTGACGATGTTGTTGTTTTTGTTATTGATGTTATTGTTGTTATTATTCAATCGCGTCTGTGTCTTCGTAATAGAGCGTAAATAATGGAAACAAATTTTCTTTTGATCACCGTGGCATTTAATAATTTGGAAACAGTCACTCAATGCATGACACACACACACACACACACACACACACACACACACACACACACACACACACACACAGGCAATTATTTCTTATTAGGCTCATCATTAGAATTCATTTTCAAAGACAAAAATAATTTTGGAAGCGATAATGTTGATTAAAAGAAACTATTATTATTACTACACTTTTATTATTATTATTAATTTTATTATTAATACTGTTATTAACACTGTTACATGTTATTGTTTTAATTATTTTGTTCGTTGTTTTAGCTGGCAATTTTTCTTTAAGACACGTGTTGCGATAGCCATAAGAGATAGAATAGTTGACATGTGCAGTGCATGCCTGCCTTGCAATGGTGTACCTTCAATGAATTTTAAAGACGTGACATCGATTATACATTCAAATACTATAAAAGTTTTAATGCACCCGTAGCGTTGAGTAACCATCATTGGATAACAGCCAACGTTACAAATTATTTGTATTTCAACTCTCTACATAAGCATGCGTGACAGGCCAATGGAGCAAGTAATTCAAAAGACAGGTTGAATCTTCATTCGGGATGTCTCAGAATTATTCCTCCGGGCTCTTTCATTGAGGTGCACGTTTAAAGGAACTTTTCAATCCTAACTCATCGGTCTGTTGTACACATTTGTAATATGCCGTGTGTTTGTGTATGTGTGTCTGTATGTGTGTTTCTGTGTGGTGTGTGTCTGTGTGTGTGTGTATATATGGGTTTACATTATACCTGCATTATGTTACACAGCATAAATAACTGTACAGTGGTATATTCTACCAGATGTTGTGAAGATTATAAGTTTCACATTAAACTAGGAGTCAGTTTTTTTTGCGTTAGATCTTCATCTTAATTCCATTTCTTCTCAATACTCCGTTTGTTTCTCCATCTACAACTGAAAGTTTCTGTTTCTAAAGCGAGCATTCTAGGTGGCCTACAGATGGGTTCTTTTTATTATTAACAATCAATGATTTCAAAAATCTATTTTGGACAAAGGATCGAATTTTCTTTCAAGAGAGTCTTACTGAATGATTATCTCCTTGTTAAAAATAGTTGAGAAACTCTTAAGAGATGAGTGAATGACAGAAATGAGTGAAGTGAAGGAAGCAGCTGACTCCTCGATGCTCGTTGAGAAGAATTTTTTAAGGAAGTTACTGTCAGACGATTATGATCTCATGTCCGATTATGATTTTTATGGCAACGATTGTTATACAAAATAATGTCAACGATTATGATGATGATGAGGATGACGATGATAGAGATGATGATTTGGATGATGATGATGATGTTAACGATGATGATGATGAGAACGATGATGATGATGATGATAGCAATAACAGTAACGGTAACGAGTTAGATGGAAATGATGATGACGTGGTGTTAGCAGCGACAACAATGCTTAACGTAATGACGATAACGCCCATTAAAATAATAATGCAAAAACTGAAAGTTTTTTTTGGTAAACATCCGCCCGAACACACACAAACACGAAGGAGGCATGAACAAAGGCACATACACATTAACTTACAATGATCCTGAATTACTGAAACACGCACAAAAACACACACACACAGAAAAACTTACGCACACATATAAAACACACACACATAAACACAGACACACACACACACACACTCGATATAAAAATTTGAACGTGCATGCAAACACGTACTTCATTAGGCACTGACTGGAAAATATAGAATCATGCAAACATTTAAGCATATAAATATACCAACATGGAAACACGGAATCGTACGAGCATGCAAGCCGAGCAAACATGCAAATATACATTTATAGGACGAGCAACACAAAAATGTGGAATGATCTGGTTTAATGGATGAACGGTGATAGTTGCTGATCCAGAGTTCGAAGAAAAATTTTGGTGGACAATCCAGAAGGACGTACGATTTTTTCGCTGCTGTTGTTGCTTCGTTGCGGTTGTTGTTGATGATGACGGTGACGGCAGTGGTTGTGATGATGATGTGTTTGCTGTTGTTGTTGATGGTGGTGGTGATGAGTTTGTTGCTGATGATGGTGGTGATAATGGTGATAACGATATTATTTGCTGCTGCTGTTGTTGTTGAGCTAATTTCGCTTACTATTCTTGTTTTTTTCTTGATGTTAACATAGTTGATATTGATGTTGTTGCCTCTATTGTTAGCGTCATTTCGTTATTGATGTCACGTGCAAATAGGGATCGTTTATTACAATACAAATACAAGCCGACATTTACCCCTGAAAACGCCACGTACAATATTATCATTTTGTAATTGTTGTCAGTTTTTTCTTTTAGGCTTATATCCTCATCACTCTCTCGACGGTTTTATTGGCAATCTGCTTGTCTAAAGAAATACTCGCCAAAATAAGCAAATCTGACAGAAAAATTCAAATGCAGAAAATGACAAACGAATACTTGAAAAGCACAAAAACTGGACTATAGATACGTTCCGTAGTTTGTTAATTTTAAGCGTACCTGCGATGTGCATGTACATATGAATGTGAGAGAATTTGTGTACGTGCAACATGCATTTGTGCATGTTGCATGCATGTTGCATGCATGTGTGCATGTTGAACAAATCATTCTATTTTACTTTTGCTTTTCCAAATACGTCATCCCTCTTTAATTCAGTCAATTCCACGCATAAAAACTTCGAATCCATTGATGTTAGAGTTGAAATATCTATGTAGGCGTGCTTGCAACGTATACTTTTTGGGTTGAATGTGTTTTTTAAATAATTTATTCTCACCAACCTAACAATAACAGTTGAGTTAATTTTTAATTGAAAATTGACATTTTTGTGCTTTTCTATAGAGGCAAATAAACAAGAAATCAAAAATAATAATAGGAAATAACCCAACCAGCAATGAGTGTCTTGCTATATCAATTTATTTATTTATTTTTTTATTTATTCATTCATTTATTTATTTATTTAAACGACACTTACACACGTAAATAAATTTTCAACATTCCTTGCATAGCAGCACTTATAACTTAATTTGTTTGCTTTAAGAATTTATTATAAGATAAAAAAAAACATTTAAAAATTGTTTCAAACGTTGTTCATTTCATGTGTGATGATCGATTTTACATTAACATTACTTTTTTTTGTAACTGTGCTAAAACTTTTATACAATAAATGGCCATCAAACAAATTTTCATGTGAATATTTTAAATGCTATCACAGTTCAACATCATTACATCATCTACGTAAATAACGAACACAACCAAATGTAAAAATGCTTACATTTCCGTCTCCCTACTATGAGCTTGAATCGTTACCAGCATTAAAAACATTTGCACATCCACAGTGAAACGGCCAAAATAATCCAGCGAACAGACGCCCTGCCCCCCATCGAAGTAATCTCCAACTCCTTCCAGGCAGCCAGCATCTGGATCACCGTGCTCCTGGCCATCAACAGGTACATCGCCGTCTGCAGACCCCTGAAGGCCAACATGGTCTCTTCAAAAGTCGTCAAAATGCAGGTTTGTGTAATTTTCAGGGTTTGAACTTTAATGTTGACAATTTCTAAACTAACTTTAATTTTATGTAGAAAAATAAGCTGATATCCTACTGTAATTTTATTTAATATGCTTAGCTGACAGTGAAAGATTTCTTTAAATGAATTGTTAACTAACTTAACTAATGTTACGTTACTTGCCTGAATTCAAAATGAATGTAAAATTTTGTTAACTGCCATGAAAATTGCAACCTCAGATAGCTGGTGTGTTCCTGTTCAGTCTGCTCAGCAACCTACCGCGCTGGTTCTTCGTTTCAGTGAAGATGAGCAAGAACCAGACGACGTCATATTCAACTAACTGTAACACTCTCTCGACCACATCCAGCACCACAGCAACAGCTGCAACGTTGTTATCTTCGGCTGATGATGGTTTCCTGGACGGCGATGGTGATGTTTCGTACGAAGACTACCAAAATCAGCAACAACTACAACAACAACAACAGCAGCAGCACCAACAACAACATCAACAACATTATCAGCCCCAATCAGTTAGTTTCCTCTACTTTTACAACTCATCAACTTTTAACAACGTGACGAACACGACCACTGCCTCGTTCATGACCAGTGACAACGTTGGCCACATCTCTTTCATATACGAAGTTGTGTACACCATATTCGTTCTCGTGACACCACTCATCATCCTCATCGGACTCAACTGCAAATTGGTGAAAGAATTGAGGAAACTTAAGATGCGTTTGCAAAACTTCAGTCGAAACTACAAGGGATCGAACGAAGCAAACATAACTGTGGTTATGATCGCCATCGTCATGATAATGGTCATATGTCATACGCCCGATCGCATACTGCAGATGTCCAGGTTCATTGGCAAGTTTACAAAAGTGGCGCCCAACTCATCGCCTCACAACCCTGGATCATTCCCTCACTGCCCCACCATCTTCATCACGTTCGCCAACATCACTAACCTCTTGATCATCATCAGTTTCTCCATCAATTTTGTTATTTATTTTGTTTTTCGGCAGCGATTCAGGCAAATTTTGAAGCATAGAATGCGATATTTATGCATAAAAAAAACGAACGACCCCAAGACATTCATCTACCAGAACACCTCCTACCTCCACCAGACGCACCGTTTCAACATGACCAGCACCAACCGCAACTCGCCAAACAACATCTCAGCTCACAGCGTCAACCTCAACTCTCCACTCAACATTACGGCGCACACCTCCTCCGCTCAGGAAGACACCAAACTGAACAACCACTTCAAAAGTATTATTAAACACAGTCATTCAGATTCGGCAGGTCGTCATCCCAGCAGATACATCATGACTTTCAGGACTGCTTCTATTCATAATCCACAGAGTGTTTAACTAAATTTTATTTTATTTATTAATTTAAACTGAAAACATACAATTATATTAACTGAACTGGTTTTTTTTCAAACTTTACTAAGCATTTCTTGATCTAGTAATTAACACATTCAACCGTGTATCAGCATTTGTTTTTGATTTGTTGAAAATTTGTTACACGCACCCGTTCATTCCTCATAACTTCTTCAATTTAACGTTATAATATATCAACTTGTTATTGTCTGCAAATAGAATCATTGTCGTCATTGCTGATTAGATAATTAATTATCAATAAATTAATTATTTATTTATTACTAATCTATCTATGGATTCGTTATTATAGTTGAGTCAATCCATGGAATGCGAATGTCCATATTAAACTTGCAGCTTCGTGTTCACTCAATTCTTGTCTGAGTAATCTTTCTGAAAAGCACTCATTATTAATTGTTGGCTAGATATTCATTTCCTAAGTTAAAGTGCTGTGGTGAGACGCAAAGATAAAATTGAATACGATTTTACTTTTGATAGTATTTATTAAGAACATATACAATCGACAAATTATAAATTTATTCTATTTTTTTATGTTTAAACCTCAATTTACCTTTTAAAATATTTCGTTTTTAAATTGTTTGTGATGTCATTATTTTGTTAAAAACGCGTTTGTGTTCTGTAAGTGCTGTTATTAGTGAAAATAAAATTTATGAAATCCAGTTGGAAATTTTTTCAAAATGAAAAACAGAACTAAAAATTTAATTAATGAATAAATATATATAGAAAGGGAGATGGCGAAAGAGAGAGCGAGAAAGAGAGAGAATATGTGTATATGTACGTGTTTAGAATGGTCAAATTTATTCTGACATTCATTGGACATATTGTTCAATTAAAAATGATGATCAGTTTTTTGATTCATTGAAAACGCATAAAGTAACGAACTGCGTTTAACTGGGATTCACTATAACCGTCCTACTCTACCGCGCTTATGTTAAATCAACATAACATATGTATCATATGCTTGTGCTACAGCACAAATCTCGTAATAGATTTTTCGACGGCTTCCCATTGTCCAATTAAGCTTAACTTGGTACGCTTGTTCATTTTCAACGTAATGCTTTAATTAATAACTAGACCAAATTGAATTGATTAAATTAATAAATAACTTTATAAATAAATCAAATACGTTACTAAGTGTTCCTACAAATACATCATGAATATCATTTCATATGAAAAATTGCCTATGTGAGCATTGTTTCTAAAAAAAATCTTTTTTAACTAAATGAAAGTTTATGGAAATGTTCGACCAAAAATATTGTTGTCTGTAAAATTATTGTTTGATGTTTTTGTTAACGTTTGCTGGGCTTACATCTTGTTGAGCATAATGTTTTAAAAGTATAAAATTGAATATTCGTCCAAGTTGCCACATTAAAACATCTACCATTTGAATTTTCAAACTAAACAAAACGAAAAATAGTAGAAACATATTATCATTTTGTTGTTGATATATTGTTGGTGATTAAAAATGATGGATAGGATGGTCAAAACAATAGCCACAAATGCATCCATCTTTCATGCTCCGTTCACTTGCTTCATTTATTAAAATATTTTGATTAATATGAGCAGGGCGTCTTACGTTCTCCTCTTCACATAGCATCTCTACATGCCTCTGGTGTTTGTCCAGTCCAATCCATTGCAACGTCACATTTCAAAATACCTCTTCGTATTGCTATACCACATCACATCACATTCCAACTCATCATATTACATCAAATCTTATCCTTTCTCCTCAGATCCCAGCCAAACAGGACACATTCAGTTTTAGGACATTCAGGGCACATTCAATTTTCATCAAGCAGTTTGCCTGAATTTTTAATTATTTCACTCTGATCTTCAAAACGTATTATTTTTAATTTAAAAGTGTATCTGTGTGTGTGTGTGCGTGCGTGTGCTTGACGTGTTTAAGTTTGTCATTGTATTATTACATGTCGTATTTGCAAATGTGAAGTCAGAAATTTGTGATGAAATTGCTTGAAAGTTTAAAAACAACGACGACTATTTCGCTCAATTCACACTTATTTAATTGTCTCTATTTCGTGTGTGAAACAATTAAAAACAACGTTCCATGCTTGCATAGGTATTAATAGAGGCTTGGATGAGTAAATTAAAAAACTAATTTTAATAGTAACTCCTACATAGTCATTCATGTGGAAGGTTCAATGTTATTTATTGCTGAAAGTCTCCGTACGCACGTTTCTTTCACGCCGTAGTTGTTACCAGAACAGGAGGGCAAATGGAAAAACGAACCGCTTGCCGATCGATATTTCCAATGTTTAGTTTCATAGGCCCGTGCACACCATATAAGCCGCATGTTAAAAAATATAAGCATAAACAAAGTTTTCTTCTCGTAAATTGAAAATATTTGTTACCTCTGCCTATTTTGATTAATAACACTTGATATGGTTAGGTGAGGTCACAAAAAATTTTTTTTATCTTGTCTTAAACTACTTTGATCATATGATAGCAATGATGGTTTACAACATTGGAACAATTCCAAATTTACATTGTTTTTATTACCACTCAAACCCATCTTTTTGTAAAGAGTTATACTTTTCAACATAAAGTATAAATTCAAAAAACTTCTCAAGCAATAGATGGCACACCTTTCAAGTGCATGCTACGGTATGTTACTAACAATGTTTACACACACACACACACACACACACACACACACACACACACACACACACACACCCACAGACACACCCACAGTAGTATTCATTGACCTAGTATCATGAAGTAACAATTGTGATTGTATAACCATCGTACAAAATTAAGGTTACAAGTAGCGTGGTCATAAATATTTTTCTGATTAAATTTAATCGCTAGAGACTTCAATTTTGATGTCTGACTGGCTGTAAGTCTTCCACGTTGTGTAACATCCTCACAAAAATAGAAAATTTATTTAATTATATGTGTGTGCTGTGTTTCTGTGTATTTGCGTGTGCGGTACAAACATACAAACGACTGGATATATACCAACAATGAATATTTATTTGTATTTATATTTACCTTCAGTAAGTAGATCGACAGATATTTAATGATAATAAAATAATGCGTCCAGCAGCCGCAAAGCATTCCTTCAGCAAACAATCAAACGAGTTGTCATCGTTTGAAGTTGTTTATAGAACCCAGATGTTCAGCACAACGTCGGTGAACTTGGCACCAACCACACACCTTGGGTTCAAACATTAAATTTCTGCAGCCTTTCAAGCATTTATGATTAACGCGCTGCTAATTAAACTGCGCAAGTAAGTATTTTCAATACATAATTTTACTTCCATTCTGATGCATGTTCGTTGCTTTTTTGTAAATTTCATTGTTGTTCATCACTTGTGGCATTAAAATCAAATAATTTCATACGATTGTGGAAAATGAAAACCTGTATTCATCATCGAGAAGTTAAACACAAGTAGCATTGAAAACCAAATAAGGAAACATTGATCACATTGAAAATTATGACTGACCAAGGAAGACAGGCTGCTTATTTGCCCAGCATCTCTCACTAAATAAATGCTTTTAATTAAATAAACAAATCAATTGAGAAACATCATTCAGTGTTCAACAAAATTTTTTATTGCAGACTCTTCTCCTACTGTACTGAAATAGATTTCCACAAAATGCATTTGATCATTCAGCTGACTACTAAAGTTATTTAGAATTATGTAAAACATGCCTTGCATAACTGTTACGCTGTGTTTGGGCTCTAAATGACGTTCGACGTTCTCATAAATTAATCAGTTATTAAAATCACTGCTTCCAACATTTTTAAACCAGCACGAAAGACGATACCGTTTAACGCCCTCAAATGTTAAAAAACAGTGTGGCTTTATTGTTGCATATTTGGATAAAAACTTTGTGACATTCATTTGAACGTCTTCATACACCGATCATGAAGCAAATAAAGTGTGTGTGCGCGCGTGTTTGTGATTATGTGTTTGCAAATATAAGTGTATGTGAGTGTGCACACGTATATGTTGTGAGTGTACGTGTGTGTACGTGTGTGTGTGTGTGTGTGTGTGTGTGTGGCGTGCGTAAATCATGAAAGTAATAAAATGTTAAACACGTAAAATAATTTATGTTTCTTCACCTTCGTATATATATATATATATAATATATATATATATATATATATATATACACATAAAAATTATGATAAATAAATATAAATACTCAGATGATGGAATATATATATATATATATATATATATATATATATAAGTAGTATACATTGTTCTCAGAGCTCCGTTGGCTATGAAAAAATTGTTATCTAAAATAAATTGAAAAATTAATTTTAAATACAACCGCTGAACAGTGAGTGGATTCATCAATCATATCACATCGGGACTTGAATGCTACAGCGAGTTGTTTTTTTTATCGTTTAAGATATTGATTGCGCAAGGAATGACACGCGGTGATCGCTTGGAATGTCGCGTCGTCGGTCTTGTTTAAATTTGGTTGCAATACTAGTAAATTAATTAAAGTTTGTACATTAGAAAAAAATATAACGACTCATCCTCACCTATCTCTATTTTTTCTAATATCCGAGACAAGGATCTGTTTTAATTAAAAGTATTTTTTTTTATTTCAGAAAAATTTTAGGGAAGTAGAGTTTAAAACGAAGAAAAAAATTGAACGAACAAAACATTCAACAAACACACATACGGATAAGCAAGTAAGCAAAGCAAACAAACAAACAAACAACAAAGGACAAACAACAGATCAAAAAGCATGTCTCATCGACCGACCAACAATCAAATCCTCCCTCAAAAGTCCGAGGACACAAAACGTGGATGGAAGTCAGTGCGAGCCTCCTGGATGGCCCGCAACACATTCAACCCCATCAGAAATATCGTCGATAACATGAAGTTAATTCCTAATCCGGACAAAAAAATGATTGCTCTCTCTATAGGTATGTAATGACATATAATTGAATTCATGATTTATTTTTTTAAATTTTAAGAAAGTTGATTGTCAATATTATATTTAGAATTTAGTTAACAGATTGTTTAAACCAAGCGAAAATAATTAATTGGACTGCAGGAGATCCAACGACGTTTGGCAACCTGCCCGTCTGTGACGAAATATTGCAGGCCGTTGAGAAGTCACTGAAGTGCCAGTTGAGGAATGGCTATTCCCCTTCAATGGGTCAGCAGGCTTATTAGATGATTTCATAGTGTTATTAAACATCTTCTTTACTAAGAATAACACATCGTTGTTCTGGGGTTCAAACCCCCTCCCCCGAAGTATAATAAAATATCGCCATTGTAAAAAAAAAGTTAAAATTAATTTAAATAGTTTTATTTTAAATTGATAGTTCTAAAAGTTGAACATTTTTGTATTGTACTTTTTGCGACATACTGAAAAATTTGATTACAGCAATGTGAATGTAAGGTATGTTCATGATTGAAATTGATGAGCTGCAACATCGCTGATGGTCACGAAGAGTGACTGTAACAGAGATATCAGGCGCACTCACAGCCACAGTTTACCATTAATAATAAAATGAATAATGGTAATAGTAAATGGTTATGTACATGAATCATGGCCGTGTAAACGGATGTTATTTTCAAATGCATGGGTGTGTGTTTATACGCGTATGCTGCGTGTATGTGTACTGTACATTCTAATTGTACGAGATGAGTTTGTACGCTATGGAGTAAATACGCTAACTCATGGAGGGAGAGATAAAGTTTGATTTTTTTTGCAAATGAAGCTAGTTCAATTTTTGAGAAAGCATAAGATTTCTAGTTTGTTTATACAACCTCAAAAATATGAAACAATGTTTTTTAAATCGCCCACCCGAAACAAAACCCCGGCTACGCCTGCGCTTAACTCCAACCTTCTTCATGGCAGGTTACGACGACGCGAGAGATGCAGTAGCCAAGCATTACTCCACACCAACTTCCATTCTAACGGCTGAGGTTATTTTAACTTTGTTGCTCTGAAATATGTCGGAATAAAATTTTAAATGTTTGCAACAAACTTGTAGGATGTGTTTTTAACATGCGGATGTTCGGGTGCGTTGGATCTTGCCATCTCGGTGCTTGCTGGCTCCGGTGACAACATCCTTGTTCCCAGGCCTGGTTTCTCCCTCTACCAGGTTCTTGCTCACTCCTACTCCATCGAGTGCAAATACTACGACCTCGTTGTTAGTTTTAACTTTTCTGTTCTTCATTTTATTCTATTTTGCTTTGGCATATATAAAATTTTGGATTCGATTAACTTTTCAAATATTAATTTTCAACACATATATCATTTTGATTTACGCAAAATTAAAATTTGTAATATAAACAATTAATTAATTTTTTGATCTAACGTATTAAATATTTTTCATCCGTTCATATTAAAATATTTAATTATTAAAACTCATCAGTCCACGCATAAAATTTTGAAGAAACAGTTTTATTAATGGCTCCAAAACAAACAGTTATAGGGATAAATGGAACGAAAGTGAATTTGCCCCAAACAGGCGGATCGTTTATGGGAGGCAGATTTGTTGCACATGGAGTCCCTCATTGATTCGAAGACGACGTTGATCGTCATCAACAATCCCTCCAATCCCTGTGGATCCGTCTGGACGAAGGAGCACATCATGGACATCTTGAAGTTGGCCGAAAAGTACCAACTGCCCATCGTGGCTGATGAAGTCTACGCTGATTTTGTTAGTCATCAATGTTACTGCCATTTAATGTTAATGTTGCTGTCATGATCCTCTTTTATTGGAAATACTTTTTTGTTAACGTTTTATAGTTGCACTATTTTCCTATTTAATGTGATATGCGGTTAATTTATGTCTCAATGTAAACATCGTGTAAACGCAATAACAATATTTGTAGTGTTTTATTTTTAAAAACGAAGAAAAAAGTTTAATAAGAGATCTTTTGTTTATCAAATTTTTATTGTAATCCTTATTTTAATTTGTATCAAAATTAATTCAGTAATGAGTAATATTGCTGACGTGAGCATTTATATTCTTTTTACGAGAACATTTCAAACCGAAAAAACTAAATGAAAGGTGTTTGAAGGTGAGGAGTTCCATTCATTTGCTTCGCTGTCATCCATCGTGCCAATCCTCACATGCGGTGGTCTCACTAAGAAGTTCATTTCCATTTTCTTTTTTTTCTGATTACCGTTTCAGTTTTTGTTTGTTATCAATTTGCATGTTATTTTCTTCTTCATAGTTGTATGTTACGTTATACATTAGTGCATCTATGGGGCAAAGATAATTCAAACAAATAATAAATTTTGTATAAATAATGTGAATCAAACAGTTGCAATGTTTTAGAACTTTGGTAGTTGAAAATTCATTAATTTAAATTGTTATTATATTATTATCTTGAGTTTTCAGTGGCGTGAAATAAAGTAAGTGTATGTATAAAATTAGTTACATACAATACAACTTTATGTTTATTTGATTACGATGAATAACAACGTGAATCTTCACTGAAATGAACCTTAAGGTACCTTGTGCCAGGCTGGAGGATGGGGTGGGTGCTCGTTCACGACCCCCTCAAGTTATTCAATCTCGAGGTTGTATTATGCTGAATGGTTTTATATATTATTATAATCGCTATTTGATAATAACAAAATTTTAAAATTTTAAAATCTGAAAATATGTTGAGTAAGCAACTTAATATTTTTCAAACGCTGTTGTTGTTGTACAATTAAATACACTAATAAAATGGCAACACGAATTATTTGAATGATGTGGCAGGTTCGGAAAGGTTTGCAAGCGCTGACCCAGCGTATCCTCGGTCCAACTTCGTTCATCCAGGGGGCCTTGCAATCCATCCTCACGCACACACCCGAACATTACTTCAAAAACTCCACCAATTTATGTCAGGTAGGCTACGTGTTCGTTTGGATAAAAATATTTTGAATGGGTTTGTTTGTGTGGAGCATATGTCAACTTCTTTAGAAGTCGGTGGACTTTGCCTGAACATTCTCGCGATGTCGTCGTAATTCTTTGAACTTTGTTTGATGAATGAAGCAACTAAGAAAACAACTGAAACATCGTGCGACCTTCACATGCAAATCAAACAATTTTGAAGTTCTATTTATAAATTATGATTACGTAAATCACACTGCTGGCTTGCACTATGACACACATAACTGAATTATTAACACAACAACAATATGCGTCGTAACATTTTCTGTAACACTCATGTATGATATATCAAAACGTTGTAGATTGAAAAATGCACTTCAAATGCCGTATAAACGACGGAATGTTTTTAATCATTCAATAAATGAACCACTAAGATATGATATATGCAGCAGCATCTTTAAAATGTTCAACGACAATTCTCTACCCCCATAAACACGTGATAGCGTGGACTTGCTAAACAACAACGCACTGTTCAGTTGAGCTTACTATTGCAGCGTTCTTTCTTCTTGCATTTGAAGCAGACCACCGCACAACAGCAACTATAAATCAACCAATTAATTAATTAATTATATAATTTCATTCCCACGTGAATAAACGCCACATTGTAAACTTTAGCATGTAAATGTAGGGAAATACTTTGCATTTAAATTCGATCACTTCAACGCCAGGCCAGGCACTCTACCTCTGCCCGCTCCGCTGTTTAGCACAACTCTTCTGAACTGAATTTTTGACTAAGCTGACTTTTGAAAATTTAGGATAAACATTTCAAAATATTTTCGATAAAACTCAAACATTTAATTTGTTGTTGATATCATGTTGCTAGAACAACGCCAGATGCTGCTATGAGATGCTAAGCAAGTGCAAAGGATTGAAACCCATCATGCCGTCTGGAGCCATGTATATGATGGTCTGTATGGTTCATTTCTAATCTGTTCATAATATATTCACATTGCATCAGAATGTTTTTCATTTGTTGTAAAGTTTGCTTATTAATATAAACTGTATGTTCAATTGCGATTAAATGCATGAAGTGAGCAAGCACGCAAGCATTTATTCAGTGTTTGCACGCTGCACGTTTGCACGTTTACATCACTTCTAGCTCTCTTAAAAACACCGCACTTTCATTAAACTTGACATCTCAAAATCAAGCAAATGTTTCAACGTGCCCTACTTGGCAGGCATCTGATCATAATTAAAACCAAATGGTTTGTTTTGTAGATGTCATTTATTGTAAGCACTTTTGTTTTCAAATCTTCCAATGAAGCAACCTTATGAGACCTCATCTCTTTAAGAAAACACTGCCCTTTGAAAGGGAAGTGGATGGATTTACTTTTTCATTCTACTCACATCGTTATTAAAAATATTTAAAAAAATAGAACGTTCAACTTGTTACAATAACTTCTTAAAACATTATGTGTGGCATTGAGTCACGTGAAGCCGCTATGCTTGCATGAAATTCTGCTATAGCTAGATACGTACGCAAAGATTTTTACAATATTAACACGTACGTACACAAACACACACACACAAATGCATTCATATAAACAAACAAGCGCACACTCAAACAAACAAACAGGTCGGCATCAGCATGAAAAACTTTCCAAACTTCAAAAATGATTTGGACTTCACGCAGAATCTTGTGACACAACAGTCTGTGTTCTGCCTACCCGCTGCTGTAAGTTATTAGCACTTCTATTCTTTCTACCTTTTTATCAAGGTTGTTTATGTGTTTGTTTGTTTGTTTATGTGTGTGTGTGTTTAATTTTTTTGTTATTTTTTACTCGTTTTTCATATTGTTTATGTTTCAAAATATGGTTTAAAATTCTTGTGTTAAAGTTTAATTTCCAAACATTTTCATAAATTGTAACGTTAAACAATGTTTAATTGGCAGTTTTTTTAATTTGTATCATACAAATGCAACAGTCAACCATTGCCAACCAATCATCACCGACCAATCATCACCAATCAATCATCGCCAACCAGTCATCACCAACCAATCATCACTAACCAATCCTCACCAGCCATCCAACCAACCAATCAACTAATCAATCCCAGTGCTTCCAGTTCCCAGACTACTTCCGCATAGTTCTAACAGTACCTGAGCATATCGTGAGAGAGGCGTGTGAACGAATAACCGAGTTTTGCAAGCAACACTACGTGGATATCAACAACAACAACAACAACAACAACAACAACGCCACCACAACGACCAGCAACTGTAACGGCTGCAGCAAATGCAACAATAATTTTGGTAACGACGAGAACGAAAGTGTCAAACTGAAGGATAAGAAGATGAAGTATGAAGTAGGAAGCGTCATCATCAACAGCAGCAAGAGAATCAACGACGTCATGGAAGACGGACAGCAGATGCTGAACGATGTCGCGAAACATTCGACAGATGGCCTACATGAAAAAAATTAAATTAGAAGAAAGCTGAGATAATTTTCCATCAGCTGATTGACTTCGTTGGACTTTTATTGTCGAATGTAAAAAATGTTTGTGTGAGTTAGAACAGGACCAGCGTGATTAACTGGTAATAATTTCGCGAAACATTTTCATTTCATTAACTGGTAATAATTTTTTAAACGTTTACATCAATCAGATCACCATTTAAACGCCATTTTTACGTTTGATTTAAATTTGATTTTTTTTTATATAACCTCTGTCAACGCTAATTTTTCCACGTTATTCCGTCAGCATTTTCTTTCTTGATATTTATATTAAATTCCAATGCATCTCACGAAGAAGATTTGGTTACATGATGGTATGCATGATGTATATGTCCGAGATTAAAGAAAAAAACAAATTAGCTATCGTTTTTCATTTTGTTCATTAATCCACATTTAACAGGAGGTGCCATTTGTATAAACTTTGAAATGACGCCCAGTGCAGAAAATAAATTGAAGACAGTTTTTTATTCTGCAAAGCAAGTCATAAATGAAATGGAATGCAACAGACTCCCATCACCATCAGATCAATAATTTACATTCACACGCCATTTTAAAACCACAAAGTGCGTGCGTGCGTGTGTGTGTATGTGTGTGCACTAGACCGTTTTATTTTTATTAAGAAAAAAAATTTTTTTTCAAACCAGATTTGCATAGGGATTTATTTTGTGTCATTTGATGATATAAAGACAAACACCAAAATCAATAAAATCAAACATTGTTAAGTGACCTCTCATTGATGAGATTGTTCAGAAAATTCAGTTTTTTAAAGCATTTTTTTAAATTAATAAAAAATAATTGTTTTTAATTTATTATGAATATTTATATATTGTTTTATTATAAAGTAATGTCTGAATCAGTATAGTTCTTTTTCTAAGGTTCATTCATTAATTTCCTGTGATGCTCAATCACCTGATACATCAACTGGTGCTGATTTTCATCATGAGTAAGTGCTGTATTAAAATCAGATGCCAATTTAACTGCTCGCTCAACACAATCATTAACTACCCGTACTGCAGACCCTATCTCTTTTCAATTATTGTAATCCTCTAGTTGTGGCCATACTTCTGGATCAAAGCAAAAAGAATTTTGACTGAGTTTCAATGTAGAAAATAAATTTAAAGACTGTTTTGTCACAAAACCTGACAAAATCTTGGATTTGAAAGAACTTATGTGTTTTGGATCTACTTTTCTAACATCATTTTTTTTGCTGGTTTATGTAATGCTTTAACCATAAGCCTTTTCTCATCGACATTAACCAAATCTGAAACAAATGTCATTCCAACAAGATACCAAAGATTCTTTTTAATTTTTTCCATTGCTTCTTTTCCAACTTTGCAATCAACTTTTTCAAATAATTCCTGAGTTTGAAGAAGACATAAATCATTGTAAGGAGCACTACATCTGTTTGCCGCACAAAACCATGCCTTTACATATAAAGTCTCTTTAATGCTTGTAGCTCATGTGCAGTTAACTTCAGTTGCTCACGAAATCAAAAAATCTTCAAACAATAAATTCCTTTTGCCATCCAGCGAGCCCTGTGATAAGCTCCTGGAGGAGTGACTTGTACAGCAGTAGGATCTAAAACTCCAAGAGTTATGAGAGAAAGCCTAATCAATTGCAAGTAACCATGTCGAGGTTGAGTATTTTGCAGTTGGTCTTGAAGAAGTTACACGATAGTTACACGATTTTGCTTTAGCTACAATATTTCATAATTAGTCAAAGAACAACCAGTTGTTACCTTGTCAATCGATGCATATTTTAACTGATTAATTGATGGCCATTGATTTTTAAATCTACTAAAAATAGCAATTTGAGGGCCAGATGAAGTGAAAAATAAATCAAATAAAGCTGTTCCAATAATTTTAAGAATATGATGCCTGCATGCTAAAAACAAGAAATGTTTATTAAAGGATTTCTGAATTATTGTTATAACACCAGTATGAATGCCAGTATTAGAACCAGTATTAGAACTGCCTTTAATGCTAAAGCCACAATGTGCATGGCTTCCCTATAAGTTGTTTTTGTACGATCTAGACTTACCATGAACAGTGGGTCATCTACTTGACACCTTTTTTTAAGTTCATTAGTTTTAGGAGATATCGGAGTACTTCCTGCAATTTGATTCTGATGGTATTTGCTGACACCCTACTTCCTCATCAGACTTATCGCTTATGTCATCTGTTGATGTTGAATTATCATCATCTTCTTCATAATTGGCTATGTTTCTCTTTTTATTAGGTTTTTCTTGTTTTTAATTCTTGCTTAGTTTCTTTTTTAATCTTTTCTCTTCTTGTTTGGCAAATTCTTTGTCTTCTCCAAACAATAAACTTCTATAATGTTTTATAAAAACATGTAAAAATATTTTAAAAACCCCAAACACCAAAAAAAATCATTCAGGCTTCATAAAAAAACAAAATGTGATTTGAGAGGTCACTAATACTTATCCTTTTTAATTGAAATTTTTACAGGATGATGCATTGTTTTAAAAACATTTTTTTTTAAACAGTCTAGTGTGCACGCGTCTGTGCGTGTGTGTCTGAGTGTAATTGTTTAATTAATTGTACACAAGTATTTATTGTTCACTTGTCCACAAAGAAATGATTTTCATATATTTTAATTCGGGCAGTCATGCACTCATAGACGGTTCATCAATTCTCTGAATATCAAAACAAAATCTGGTGTTTATATTTGTATGTGTGTGTTTGTATGTAATATATTTATATATATATTTAATTTTAATTAAATATATATATATATATATATATATATATATAATTAAACAACATATGTTTTACTGTTGAATGGATGTATTGTTGAATGGATGAAAGGATGAATGGTGGAAAAGAATGATGGAACGATGGACGGAATGATGTTACGTCACAGTCCACCGAACTTAGAAATTGTCTACGCTCAACTCTAATTTCAATTCTCATTTATTATTATTATTATTATATATATATATATATATATATATATATATATATATATATATATATATATATATATATACATATGCGTGCATAAAATTAAAATGTTGATTTAATTAAATTGTAACAGTAAGTAGGCCAACGAAATTAATAATTAAATTAACATATTAATAGAATAAATGATGAAGCACTTTGTTTTGTTGCCAATTCAACGTGACAAACCCAATATTTTAACATCTCAATAAATTAATTTTTAATTTTCCGCAGCCGAGTGTTCATTTGTGCGTGCGTGCTAATCAATGTGTGTTCGTTTCGTGTAAACATTCTTTCGTTCATTTTTGTGTGTTTGTTGCTATGTTTGCGTGCAAGATTCTACGCATAGTTGTATGGATGTTGGTGTGCGTGTGCGCGCGTGTTTATGTTAGTTTCGTTTGTTTTACAGAGAAATCTGTGCGGATTTTTTAATTTGACTGCCATTTCTTTACAAGATTTTTCGCAGATTTTATGGTGTGAGCGCTAAACTTTTGATTTAGTTAGATTAATGCAGTGAAGTTCATTTGCTAAAGATAACAATGATAAACAAAACAAACAAAAAATCAAGAACCACCAAAATACCTAATTAATTAATTATTTAATTAATTAGTTCCAAAACAAACAAATATTAGCATTCTAAACAAGTGAATGTGTGAAAAGACAGGCGGCATGAGTTCTGCAACCATTCAGAACAGCAAATCTTATTTTGAAAAAATCAAACCGTTCTATTAGATGGTGAAGTATTTCTACGCTTTCCTATTTAACTAGTAATATGAATAAAAAAAAACAGTCAAATCTTTTATCTTTCTCACTATTTCTCATTTTCTCTCTCTCTCTCTCCTCTCTCTCTCTCTCTCTCTATCTCTCTCTCTGTCTCTTTCTTTGTATGTTTTTTGTTCTACATTTTTTTTCCAACTCAGCCATGTACATAAGCCCCGCATACACACAGGCAGATGCAGACCACGCATACACTTACGAACCTTACACGCACAAAATGAAATCTCTAAACCTCCAATCTTTATCCATCCAACAATTTCCAAACGTTCGCATGACTCCATGATTGCTCATTTATGAGTGAATAAACGGCGTTTCTATATTTCTACATTTATATCATTTATTTACTTATCTATTTTTTCACAAAAATGTATAATGGACAACCCCAAAACGTTACTGTTGTACCCGCTCTTATAATATGATGATAAGAACAACACGATGCAAACAGATGCAGTATTAATTCAGACACAAATCAATTTGCTGATGACGAAAATATTCTTTCTAGCTAATCAGGCGTTTAATTCATTTAAATTTCAGTCAACTCATGAATTATATGCACAGACAGAAATATATAAAATATATATATATATATATATACACACACATATATATATATATACATTATGAATTATATATACATTATGAATTATATATACATAAACGCCCATTCACGTATGTATGCATGTGATCAAAATATGCCTGCCATACAACATCAATGCCAATACATTCATGTCGATGTTTTAAAATGATTGTGGCATTTCTTTAAACTATTTCTAACACACACACACACACACACACACACACACACACACACACACACACACACACACACACACACACACACACACACACACACACATACACACACACATACACACACACATTCAAACAATAATTTATAAATACGCACACACACACACACACACACACACAACACACACAACACACACACACACAATGCGGCATACTGTGGCTACTCCACTTTATGTTTGATAGGTCCTAATGCTTTAATACATACCTGTAGTATGTACTGCACATACTGGGTTTGTGTTGCTACGTTATGTAATTTTATTTAAATTTCTTTCCTTTAAAGTTTCATATATTATTTAAATATTATTCAATTTATTAGATTGTGGATATTCAATATTGATTATTTGAATATTTGCATACATTCGACTTCAGTGAACTCTCTATAATTCGTAATTATGCACGTGAGCGATGAGTTACAAGTGGCTGAACACAGAGAACGCACGACTATAAAAACTGCCAGCCAATCTTTACAAAGTTTCAATTCAAACTTGGCTGCTGATGTTGAATGATTATAGAGTTGTGGGAGATTATTTCTGAAACTTTTTCGAGAAAATTAACTAATTTATTGTAACTGCTCTTGAAAAGTACGTTGCTAGGCTTACTGTTCGTTTTTGAAGTTTTAAATTAAAATATTTAACTTAAAAATTCGTAATAATTATTTTATCAATAAATAAATTTAGCTAGTAACATTGTGAAACTATATTCATGTTCTAAGATCATCATTACTTTGAGAAGACCGAAATGTCTGCATATAAAAAATTTTTAGTCGTCATTTTTCTGTCTGGTTTGATTTTAAAATGTGCAACAAGCAACCAACCGGCCGAACATGACAGCAAAGCAGAGAGCAGCGAGAAAGCACCAGAAAAACATGGAAGTAACGCAGCAGGTGGGCATGAACCAGCTGAAAGTGGACATGGATCTGCAGAAAGTGGACACGGAGAGGCTGGCGAGGAGGAAGAACATGAGGAAAGGTTCCAAGTGGCTAAATTTGATTTCAATTACGTCAAAGTGCCTTTTATCGTTGGCATTTGGATACTTTATGCCGTCTGTGCTAAACTTTGTGAGTTTTTTATTTTTATTCTAAAAATTTAATTATTCCATCTTAACAACATATGGTTATAAATGTTTTCTTATAATAAGTAGCAATGTGTTTATAATACAAGTTATTTTTACGTTAATAGTTTTAAAATATTGTTTAACATATGAACGCTAAAATTGCAAAAAAAAATTTTTCGGTGTTATACCAAATTGCAATTTTAGCTAAAAAAACCACATAAGATTCTTTATTAAATAATGTTTGCATTAAAAGGTTTCATGAAGCATATAAATTAATTTGGATTATTGGAGATATAGTTTACAAATTTATGTTTCAGTCTAATTTTGTTGAAGATGAAACGACATTAATTATATTATACGGATGTTAATGATCGTGCTTAAACATAATTTTACTGAAAATTTGTTTTAGTTTTCCATTGGGAGAAATACCTGAGTCGCATCTTTCCAGAATCCTGCCTTCTCATCATTATTGGTGTCATTTTTGGAGTTTTTCTCTACTTGGCGGGCGAGCGCATGTACGAAGTGAACACGACCATCTTCTTCCTGGTCCTGCTGCCTCCCATCATTCTCGACGCTGGCTACTACATGCCTGCCAGGGCCTTCTTTGACCAACTCGGCACCATTCTGCTATACGCCATCCTAGGAACACTTCTCAATAATCTTTTATTAGGTTTGTTTGTGTCACTTGTAGTTGAATTCGAATTACTTCATATGTAGTTTTATGCAAATTATTCGAAGTTAACCTAATATAGGATGAATAACAATTGATGATTTCGTTATAACTAATTAACCTAATTGAACTTGGTCATGCAGGTTTTGCTTTGTACGGTGTTTATGAAGGAGGAGGCTTCCAAAATTTTGAATCACCTCTGCTCTTGTTGCATGCTCTCGTGCTGGGAAGTTTGCTGGCAGCTGTCGATCCTGTCGCAGTCTTGGCTGTTTTCGAGTCGGTACAAGTTAACGAAATGTTGTACATTATAGTATTCGGCGAATCGCTCCTCAATGACGGCATCTCAGTGGTTTGTTGCGACGTTTAATTATTAATAAAAAAAACATCAAATGCGATTAAGTTGCACTTTAATTTTCTAGGTGTTGTATCATTTGTTCGAAGGATTCAGTGAGATTGGAATTGAAAACATTCAAGGAATCGACATCATAGCCGGCATTGCTTCGTTCTTTGTCATTGTCTTCGGAGCCACAGGTGCGTAGTAAACATTTTTAACGTTAAAGAAAATGTGCACAATTTATAGAAAAAAACTACGTCGAGAAGATATTCAGTTTTGTTAGCCGTTGTTTAAAAATGTTCATTTTAAATTTACAAAAGGGATTGGAATGCTGCTGGGCTTGTTGGCAGGTTTCATGTCTCGATTCACAAAACATCAAAGGAAGATGGAACCATTGCTGGTCCTCGTTATCGGCTATTTGAGTTTCATCATTGCAGAAATGTTCCATTTATCTGGCATTATATCGTTAGTTGTAGAGAGTTTTTTTACAACAGTTAAATGACTTGGTTTATTCGAATTTGTTATTATAATAAAATTAATAACTCAAATAATTTTTAGCGGTAAAACTTTCAACATCAAATAACCAAGATGACATTTTTTCAAATAAATTTTGTGTATATTTTAAAGTTTGCATAAAATAATTGAAACACTGAAATGATGATGAACGAAAAAACGACTCAGTTGCACTTTTTGTGGCATAACGATGAGGAAGTACGTAGAAGCGAACTACAGTGAGAAGTCGAACAAGGCCATCCACGTTGTCCTGAAGATGTTCGCACAGGCCAGTGAGACCATCGTCTTCATGTATATCGGTCAGTAAGAAACTATGCAAACAAATTTTTGTATTACAGTCCTGAGAAGATACTCGCTGCAATAAAAACAAATAAAAAGTATTAGAATGAAAATTACACTGTTGGATCTTAACAGATGTACACCGCATTTTGTTCATGAATTAAAATACATTTTAATTTAATTAGAAATTAATTTAATTTGTAAATTTGTTTCATTCTTTTGAAGGCATGTCAGCAGTTAGTGACGTACACCACTGGGACACGGCATTTTGCATCCTGACGCTCATATTTTGTCTTATTTTCAGGACAATATGTTAGCAAAGCTTGTTTGTGTATATAGTCGGCATAACCGACAACTACTCTATGACAATTATAACATTTTAATATTTAAATAACACGCAAATTTGTTAATTTTTGATGTTATTTATCATGTTATTTTAACTCTTTTCAAATGGCCGCAGAGCGTGAAAGCATTATATTTCCCTCTTAAATTATGCAAAGGTGTCATAGTGCAAACGTACTTCGCCAACATGATAAGAGTTGTAAAGTTGACAAAGATTGACCAGTTTGTCATGGCCTACGGTGGATTGAGAGGGGCCATTGCATTTGCCCTGGTCCTTCTTCTCGACCCGCATGGCTTCCCACACCGTAAGATGTTTATCACAACCACAGTCCTCGTCATTTATTTCACCAATCTTGCCATGGTATGCACTTCTTATCATATCCTTTTATATCCTTTATTATCCTTACTTTCATTATCCTTTATGAGATGAAAATAATTATTTTTACCAATAGGAAAATATTTTTATGATGATTTACAATTTAAGGGCACCACAATTGAGCCGTTGGTGAAATTTTTAAAAGTTAAAAGACAGCAGCATAGAAAACCAACTATAGGAGAAAAAATCATGAATAGGGTATGTTGAAATCCTTGTCCTTACTTTATGAAAGTTGAGAATACTTCTACAAATGAAAAAGTTTCTAACTGCATTACTATTAAAATTCAGTTCACCGATCACGTAATGGGAGGTTTCGAAGATATAACCGGCCAATCGGGTCATCATCAACTAAGGGAAAGGTCATTATTTAAAATATTTTAATTAAATGCACAAAATGATTGGCAACCATTTATTAAATTAATTTTTTTTGCTTATTAAAGATTTTCGACCTGGAATAACAACTTTCTAAAGCCGCTGATCGTTGGAAAGTCCAATCCAAGAACACGAGGTTGGCAAATATTGAGCGTGTACAACCAGATCAACCAGAAAGCGGCAAAGCACCATCTGCAGCGCAGTGACCACGGAAAGTCGTTGCTGTTTAGAGACATGTCATCTCTTGATTTAAACAGGAGTCCGTCCTCTTTCAACGTTGGCTCCACGTCATCCATGGCCAATATTCCGCGAGGAGTCATTATGCAGCGCAAAAATTGGTGGTAAGTTTGTTGTATTTTGTTAGTTTAACAAGAGTTTTTACATTTTTTATATGAATTTTGATTAAAATAAAACTTTAGCCTATGCCTATTGATAAATGAATGTATAGTAAATGATCAAAACATTTATATGTATAAAGGATGAAACTGTTTGTTGAAAAGTTAAAAATAATTACATAATGAATAATTAATGAAAACCTGTTTTTAATTAAAACGCTCGATCGAACAGCGATCGAATGAAATGAACGCAAGGTTATATTCGGTCGAATGATCGGTCGGTTTAATTAATTCCAGGGAATCGACAGCGAGCCTGTCGAGAACTCTACACCAGGATATGATGTTCCGTGATAAAAATGAAGAGGCCAACAAAATTCATCATATCTCTGAAGATATTGCTGGCCCTATTTTGGTAATGTTAGCATTTATATCGGTGTTTTTAATAATTTGTAGTTATAATTCACTAATGACTTGTCATCAAATTTTGACAAATTGTAATGTCTATTGCAATTATATAAAATTTTAATTTTTTTTCTACCCCTGTGAATGTGAATGAAGCACTAACCATAAAATTTCAGACTTTCCTATAAGATATTTTTAACAAGCATAAGTAATATCAGCTTCGAAATTGCACATCTATTATGATTGAGAGTGATTATATAACGCACACGTTTTCCGATCGGCGTTAAACTCAAACGTTATATTTCAATTTCTATACTAAATTTACATGAAAATAATAGTTATAATTATCAGTTACACACATATGTATATATATTCGTATACATAATATAAATATATTAAGTGTATAAATTTATTTATATACAGGTTAAAGTTGTTAATGTAAAAAAGTTAATTAATTTGAGCAGAGAGTTAAAGCGGTACACAAGCAGCAGAATTCATTAGAGTCAGACACCGTAGAGAACAGCGTCATTGAACTGAACGACGATCCGCACGATGATGCAAATAATGCACAAGGTCAAATTTCATACACGAAAGAAAGTCAAAACGTTTTTGAAAACAAACGTGAAACACAAAACGGCCTCTGCAAGTCAAAAAAAAGCGTCAGCTTCCTTGATTTGGGCAGCATCGAACCCAGCAAAAGAGGTTGGACTAAAAATTCTAGTAAAATTATATTTATTTGTTTGTAAAAGTGGTTTAATATGGCTGTATTGGTTTAATTTAAATCCGTCTCTTATGTTACTAACTCACAATTAATTTTCATAAACTAACGTATGATGAGCAAATAATAAATTAACTTTTACAGCCGCTATGATAAATAAAATAAAACAAGAGAAAGAAGAAAGTAGCAAAATGGATGACCACGATCTACCTATACCGTGGAAATCACTAAATTACGAGTCGGAAGATTACAACCCCATCGTATCGCAGTCGGCTGGCGTCGTTCCACCCAACCTCAGGGAATATCTTGATAGTGACGGGTCAGCTGCTTTTTATTACTTATAAACAAACTAAAAAGTACTTAATATAATTTAACCTTATTTACAAGGAGGCCATTTTTTAGCCCAAACTTATGTATAACTTTAAAAATTGATATCTTATTCCATGCATGTTATATATAATAAATTGTTAAAACACATGTTAACATTGACTTTAGACTTAGAGAACTTGTTAGAATTTTGTGAAATGTAATCCTATTAAGCAATTTTACATTTTTTGTTTGAATATTTTTTTAAAATACAGAAATAGAACTTCATCTTTTGACCCGCCTCCTGCTTACTGGCAAAAAAATTATGGCTACCTCGGTGATGGGGACGATGACGATCGATCTGAGGAATCTTCGAAGGAAGAAGAGAGCAGCGATAGAGCAGCGCCGTTAGAATCCATCGTCATACACAGTCCAGATAGTATAGATGGCAATCAGAGAAATGCTTCTGATAAAGACACCGATAAAGAAATTGTTTTGGATGCGTCGAAAATGTCATCGAGATACAAAAAATATTAATTAAATTTAATGAGTTATTTCTACTTTTAAACTGTTTTAATTTTGAATTTTAATTTTTACGTAGAAGTCTGAATTAGTATTTCAAATGTACAACTGGTGATTTTTAAACTTTCGACATTTACGTGTTAAATTTTTTTCATGTTATGTGGTAAAAATTTTCAAGCATATTACTTTGATCTCGTCATCTTTCGTTTAGGTTAATATTTCAAGCATCTCTCAAAATTGAAAAATTCAAATTTTTAACTTCAAAATGCTATTTTGCAAAGTTCTCGTAAAAAATTATTTAAGATGAAACTCCATATCTTTGAAAGCTAATTTTTCTATCGACAATTTTCATAATAAACTTTTTGTATAAGTCATTTATGTGATGTTCAAAAACTTTACAAAGAGTTGGTTTGAGTTCCGCTTGGAACGTTTTAGATGGCTGAACTATCAAATTATGTTGCGTTTTGAATGGGCTGAAGGGTTACAAAAAAGGCAAGAGCGTAAGACGTCTAACAAAAACTTTCAAAATCGCTTTAAGTTGTTTTAGGCTTAGAAAGAAACCTAAATTTTATTATGGAAGTTAAAACATTTGTGTCAAACAAACAAAATAATTTAATATCTAACTTGTCATATACCCTACGTAAATAATAAAAAACTGGACCTAATACTAACCAGTGGTACGCTATTTGTTAAGTTAAAACCTGTAAATTTTCAAATTTTACATCATTAACACCTACGAAAGAATTTTCATTTTAATTTTTTTAATAATAATTTATGTAATTATAAGTTTCCACTACAAGAGCAACATTGAATTATGTAAAGGAAATTACATCTGTACGTCAATTTGGAAGTATTTGCGCCATACCCACAATCAATACTTATCTGCTGCTCCCTTAGCTACATAAAATACATAGGTGTCTAGGCTGTTATTATTAATACATCGAGACATCTATGATACAATATAACGAATGTGAGACTTCAATAATGATGCAATAGATGTTCGCAGTATGATGCTGTTTTTGCTTCAGGTAAATTCCATTGATAATGTTATAGCCATGCATATTAACCCCACGTTTCTTCATATAGGGTGGTTTCTGCATGGGACATAAGTTATAAGATATATAAGCTATAAGAAATAAGATCAAGATATGAGAGATGATAATTGATATAGCATAAGTACATATATAATCATAATATTTTACACTCTTTCTTATATAACAATAATTCTTATATATATATATATATATATATATATATAACTTTAAATATATATGTATATATATATATATAACCACCCTATATGAAGAAATCGTTCAATTTATTGAAAATAGAATTTTCAAAGTTCATCATGAAAATTTAAAGTTTGCCCGCCTCCGACATACATGCATCATGCACAAATATTTATCCTCAAAAGCTTGTTTAGGTTGCCTTTTCGCGGATGAGATGTGGATACGGATAATGAACAGTTCGGATGCGGACTTTTTTTTTATTCTTTAAAAATAATGATCTGACAGATGCAAGGCAGAAAATTAAACGAATAAGTAAATAAATAAACAAAAATCGGAGGAAGAAAAATGTTTAAACATGAAATGTAAAGTAAAATAGAAAAAAATAAATAAAAATAAAATAAATAATTAACTCTGCGGATGCGGGCGGTTGCGGACGTGGTGAACTCTGTGGATGCGGGCCGTTGCAGTTTGGACTGCAACGGCCCGTCCGTATGGGCCGTTGCAGTCCAAACTGGTTGGACTCTAGTTTCAATTTCATTTTTCGATTTTAATATATATATATATATATATATATATATATATCTTTATATATATATATATATATATATATATATATATCTATAATTTCAATATATATATATATATATCTATCTATAATTTTAATATATATAAATAAATATATATATATGTATAAATAAATATATAAATATAAATATATATGTATACTCATATGTGTAAATATATGTTTAATTATTATAATCTTCATTTTTTTATTTTTGAGCTTGATTTTTTTATCTCGTTGATTCTTACCCATGATATGATGAGATGCAACCCACTTCGCACGCTGCATTTGTATTAGAAAGAAACAATTTTTAACATAATTTATGCGGCCTTCTTAAACGCAATTGGTCAAAATAATCTGCAATGTAAATGTAAACATATTTTTCATTCCTGTTGGTGGGTCAGACGCTCGTTTGACTCTTGTTTCGCGTTTTTTGTCTGTTTGTCAGAAAGAGTTTATTTAAATTTATTAATTAAACAATTATCGTTGTAAAAGAAGAGAATCTTTTTAAACTGAAAGCATGGCTGCGGAGGGTGATTCATCCATGATGGCCACCCCGTCGGCAGCCGTCGCTGAAGTGTCTGGGTTTGTCAGTTTTTTGGGAAAGTTTGTGCCGGTTCTCTTGGAAGAATCTGACGACAATCCGGAGAACTTCAACAGCGCTCTCAAAGATGTCAACGCTACTGAAAGTATCAAAAAGTTTCTTGGAGACCCGCAGATACCAGCTCTTTTTGTGCAAAAGGCTGCTGTTACAAAAGGTTTGCTTGTAATAAATAATGATATTAAATTAAATTACAAATGATTTTCTTCTGTTTATTATTTTTTATATTTTAGATAAAAAAGTCATTTAATTTTAAGGCCGCATTTAAAAAACATTGTTCACAAAATCTGCTTTTGTTTTTATTGTATTTTACTTTTTAAATACAAAAAAAGATGAAGGAGAGGCAGTCACTGGTGAAGGTGATGAAAAAGAAAATTACACCTACAGCATTACAATTGAAGTCAGATATACTCATCCTAAAACTAGCAGGTGTCTTGCTATGTGTTTTGTGCTAATTATATGATTTTTCAGAATAAATTATTTATTTTATATGTCTCAACATAACAACTGTTAATTATTCTGTTTGTTTATTAATGCTTGCCTTTCATTTTTAATGTTTCCAGTGTGGTTATATTGAAAAAGACGCCAATAGTGGAGGCAGATAAGAGCTTTGCCTCCCAGGTTAGATTGATGACTTTTAGTGAGGGATCCCCTTATGAAACTCTTCATTCGTACATCAGTGGGGCTGTGGCACCATATTTCAAATCATTTATTAGAGCATCGGGCAAAGCAGATAGGTATGATAATTTTTGTTTTCAATGTTAGAAATGTATTTTTCAATTTGATGCTATTATTTTCAGTTGCATCACATAAAATCTACCTGCAATAGATTAGATTCGAACTAGCATTGCTTTGCTTGTGCTGTGTTGATGAAGTGGGGTGGTTTGAAGCAAGTAGCTGACAGATGTTATAGTGATTCATGCATTGATTTTTTGATAACATCTGTTTGATATGAAGTTGAATTTATCTCTAATTGTTTCTGCATATTGATATTTTGATTTTAATGCCAACTTTTTAGATTAATTTATTTTAGAGAGTTGAATTATATTAGCCAAGAATTATTGTTCAATGAACTGTTCATCCTTTTTTTGATAATTTTTCCTAATCTACAGAGATGGAGATAAAATGGCACCCTCTGTTGAGAAGAAGATTGAGGAACTGGAGTTGGGATTGTTGCATCTGCAGCAGAACATTGATATTCCTGAGATCACGTTGACGGTTCATCCTTACGTTGCACAGGTCATCAAAAAGTGTGCTGAAGAAAAAAGAAAACCCAAAGTGTCTGACTTTGGAGATAAAACAGAAGATGCACAGTTTTTGAACCAGCTCCATAGCTGTGTCAACAAGTGGACAAACGAAATAAGAAAAGTTTGTTCTTGTTAATTTGTAGTCATTTTATGTTTATCCAGACAATATGGAAAATACCATCGAATGATTTTATATTTCAACTAGTATTTGTTTCCAGGTGACCAAGATAGACAGAGATGCATCTTCTGGAACTTCCCTCCAGGAGATCAGCTTCTGGTTGAACCTTGAACGTGCTCTTCTCAAGATCCAGGAAATGAGGGAAAGCATTGAAGTGTCCTTGACATTGGATATTTTGAAAGCAGGGAAGAGATTTCATGCCACTGTTGGTTTTGATAATGATACAGGTGAATTAATTGAATTTTGTATTTAATATTAATCAAGGGTACCAGAATGGATGAGTTCTGGCTGGCTTGTGTGTCATTGCAAACTAGCAGAACATGTCACATGAGATTTGAATATTTATATGTAGGGGGGTTGCATTAAAATGCTGATAATTAATAATAATTAAGTGTTTAAATATAATTGAAAGGATTGAAGCAGGCAATGGCGACAGTGAATGATTACAATCCTCTCATGAAGGACTTTCCATTGTCTGACCTTCTTTCTGCAACAGAACTGGATCGAATCAAACTTGCACTTGTCAACATTTTCAATCATTTGAAGAAGATTCGAAACACGAAATATCCCATCATGAGGTGCCTCAGGCTTGTTGAAGCCATCTCAAAAGATCTCAGTGCACAGATGCTCAAAGTCCTGGGCACCAGAAGATTCATGCATGTCATGTTTGATGATTTTGAAAAGGTTTAATTTGAAATTTTATTGATTTTAGGGCGTTGGTGTGTTTTGTTAACAGTTTTTGCCTTAGAATTTTAAATATTTTAAATTTTACTTGTATTTATTGCTGTTATATTTCAGGTGATGGGAGCGTGTTTTGAGATCTTCCAAACGTGGGATGATGAGTATGAGAAACTTCAGAATCAGTTGAGAGAGCTGGCAAAGAAGAAGAAGGAAGACAACATGAAGATGGTCTGGAAGATCAATCTCACACACAAGAAGCTTCAGACAAGATTGGAGCAAATTAGAAAGTTAGTCTGCTCTTCATATTTGTATTCGTTCATTTTAATTTTTCAATGTTACTTATTGGTTTGTAACATTAAAAAATATATATTAAAATTACAGTTCATTCAAAGTTATCTTTGTTTAATCCTGTGAAATATAATCTGAAGGGATTGACGGGATGGAATTATAAAAAAAAAACAAATGATCCATTTATTAGGTTCAGAAGACAGCATGAACAGTTGAGGCAAGTGATTTTCAGAGTGTTGAGACCTAGCACTTCACCACAACAACCACAGCAACAGCCTCAGCAACAACCTCAGCAGCAACAACCGCAAGAACAACAACAACATTCACCTGACCAGCAGGCATTGTTTGATGGAGCAGACTTCAACTCTATGGAGGTTAGCATGGCTTTTTTTATTCAAATTTGGATTATTGAATGAAAGGGGAGACAAGTCCATGTCATTTAATTTACTCTGAAATAATTACAATTTAAAGCAATATTTGTTTGTTCAATCTATAGCTTAATAGAACGTCTAACAACTTTAGAAATTTAAACATTAGTATCAACAATAACTATTAGGAAGTGAACCTGGCATATGACAATGTTAAGGGTGTGGATTGCTTGGATGTGTCAGCAGAGGGCACTCTTGCTTGGGAGGCTGCTAACAAAAGGTTGGTCAACTTACATAAGTTTTGCTAGACATTAATTGATACTTGTGAATCTGAGCTACTCATGGTTTATTCTTCCAGTTTTTGATAGTTGTTCATTGTTGTGGCCTCAAAGATTTTAGTGTGTCAATATTTTAAGTTACAGCACTGTTGGCCCAAAACAATAAGTTTTAAAATGAAAATTTATAATCAAATGAAATAATGTTAAAGATAAAGAGAACAATCATGACATACAGATACAATGAGCGCATAGACAGAGTGGAGAGTCGCATAACAACTCGATTGAAGGGACAACTAGCTACGGCTAAAAATGCCTTGGAAATGTTTCGCATATTCTCTCGCTTTAATGCCCTGTTCGTGCGTCCACACATCAGAGGTGCCATCAGAGAGTACCAGACACAACTGATTCAAAGGGTGAAGGATGACATTGAATCTTTGCATGAGATGTTCAAAACAGGATACCCTCACAGCAAGTCCTGTTCCATGAGTCAGGTAAGATTGATGATTGATAAGTTTAGTAACTATCCTTTAATGTGTTTTAAAATGTTAACTTTTGTAACGTTGATGAAGTTACCAATTTACTTTTCATTTTTAGTGAGCCTTGTTCAATGTTAATTATTTTGCATTGTTTGATTTGACATCTTGTTACAGCTTTATTAATTGCTAGCCTGTTTCTGTTCAATATTTTAATAGAGCAGAGATCTGCCTCCAGTAGCTGGCTCTATCATCTGGGCCCGCCAGATTGAACGACAGCTGAACACTTACATGCATCGAGTTGAAGATGTTCTTGGAAAGGGATGGGAAAGTTATGTGGATGGTCAAAAGTTGAAATCTGATGGGGACAGTTTTAGATTGAAGCTCAACACACAGCCACTCTTTGATGATTGGGTCAACAAGGTTGTCATTGCTTGTATTTTCAAGTGGCCATTCTAATTAATTTTTGGTTAGGTTGTGAAAAACTTTCAAATCTTTAAGTAGAGCGAAACATCATGGATATAAATATAAGCTGACGTTATTAAAGAAATTGTCACTGCATTAATTAAAAAAAATTGTATTCTCTGTTTTACAGGTGACTAACAAGCAGATTCCAGTATCTGGTAGAATTTTCACAATTGAAAATGTAAGGTCAAGAATTTCTGGTAAAGCCAACGTTCTCCATCTTAAGGTCAACTTTGCTCCAGACATCATCACGTTATCCAAAGAGGTTGTTTTGTTATGGCCATTTGAGTTCCTAAGTCAATAAATTTAATTGAATTAAAATTTAATGAAGGTTCGTAATTTGAAATGGCTCGGATTCAGGATCCCATTGACAATTGTGAACAAGGCACACACTGTTAATCAGCTATATCCTTTTGCCATCTCATTACATGAAAGTGTCAACTCATACGAAAAATCATGTGAAAAGGTTTAAAGTTATATACTACTACATATTTTATATTATTATTAATATTATTATTCACAAGCAAAAAAGTAAACATGTACTTGTATTAGTGCCTTAACTATGATAGAATACATAAGCAGAAAAAAATAACTGTGAAACAAAATATATATAAAACAATATAAACAGAAAGGAAAAGAAAGAAAAACTAAAACTAAAAAATATCAGCATCTATCAAAGTTTACCAATTGTTTTTGTCGCGCACACTCTTACATCATAGACACTCAAAATCACTCATACATATAGACAAATTTAAAATACTACGACATCAAAGTAATTGCCCGAAAATTAACAACTATCTATAATATATCTGATTCAAAACTAAAATGATTTATTTATTGCCAACAGATTGATGAAAGGACGAACATATCACTGTTAGTGGCTGGCATGAAGCGAGACATTCAGTTCATGATCACTGAAGGTGCAGGTCTAGCTTGGGAATCATACAAACTCGATCCATTCGTGCAGAGGATGTCAGAGGTGACATTTCAGTTTCAGGAGAAAGTCGATGATCTGTTGATTGTCGTTGAACAAATCGATCTGGAAGTGAAAGCATTGGATTCTTGTGCATACAGTCAAGCAACATTTACTGAAGTTCTCTCTAAGATACAGAAACACGTTGATGATCTCAGTCTCAATCAATATTCCAACTTGCCACAGTGGGTTGCCAAACTGGATCAGGAGGTTTGTTATGCTTGTTAACATTTTGCCATGTCCAGATTTTGTTGCTTTCGTTTTTTTGAAGTTTTTGCTTTATTTGTAAAAGTAATTTGTTAGAGCAATAAGTAGTTAGTTTTTTCAGTAAATTTATTTGTTATTAATTTAATTTCTCAGGTTGAACAACGACTTGCAGCTCGTTTAGAAGCTGGTTTGAAAGCATGGACTCAAATGTTAGAAAATGAATCTAAAGAAGAAGGCATGGATAACAACATGGATACAGATGCTCCTACTCAACTAGCCTACAAAGCTGGAGGAGAACCCAAGTTGAAGGTCCGTCCTTTCCTCAATCAAACTATTTTACAATCTTTCGTTAACTTGACCGTTTTTAATATGAGTAAGTAGGAAGTCATCACAATATTTAAAAGTTGTTCAATTTCTTTATTCTCTATTATCTTGTTTGTGGTTAAAAAATGCTAGGAATTGCAATTTAGTAAAAACGTTTTCACCTTTTTTATCTATCTATGTAAATTTGAAATAAAGAAAATTTGTTTGCGTATTTATTTATGTATTTCATTTAATTAGTTGCCTGTTTTTTTCTAATCAACAGCAATTTGTGCATGAACTGCGCATAACCAATCAAGTGATGTACTTGAGTCCTCCGGTTGAGGAGGCGAGGTCGAACATTTTGAGTGACCTCTTCCAGTGGGAGTCCATTGTTGTCAATTTGCCTCGTATCACTCATGCCAGATATCAGGTTGGCTGGTTGGTGTGTTGGCCTCTTGGCGGTTTGGCCTGTTCTGTTGGTCGCTTGGCTGGTTGTTTTGTGTGGTTTGGTTGTTTTTTGGTCTTGAATTTATTAATATTAAAGACTGTTTGATGATTGGTTGGTAATGAATGGTTGATTGAAGTTGTGTTTTATTTAAAATCAGTCAAATTTACTAGTGACTATGGTTGATTTGAGAGAAAACATACATTTGTTTACACTAAGTTAGTTCATTGAAAGTCGGATAATCATATTGACTTTTTGTTACTTTTAATGAAAACGTAACAAAATAACACCAGGTTGGGTTAAACACAGCATCAGCCTCAGAAACACACTACAAAAATTTGCTCGCCAAATTGCCATCAGGACAGGATGCAGTGGTTGGGGCCTACAATGCTATTGAAAAGATCATCAAGGATGTGGATGCATATGTCCATGTTAGATTTTAACATTTTCCCAATTGAGTGCTTTACTTTTGAAAATTTTTCTAACTGTTCTTAAATATTTTTATGTACTTTTATCTGTTTGTAATCTAACAAAACTTGATCTTTTTTTGTGAAAAATGTTCTTCATGTTTTTCAAATGATCTTCAAATGTTCTTCAAATGTTCTTAAAGTGATTTTTATGATGAGGTACAATTTGTGGATGATATGATACAGAGTAAGAATGATTGATATTACATTTTTGTTGACAGATCTGGCTGGATTATCAGGCTCTGTGGGACTTACAAGCCGACTTCCTTTATGGAAAGTTGGGCTCTGACATTCCCAAGTGGATGAAAGCTCTTGAAGATATCAAGTAACTTTATGGATTTTTAAAATTTATTTTGGTTACAATTATTACGATTTCATTCTCAACCAGTGTGTTTATTGCTTTTTGTTGAATGGTTGTAATTGCATATAACAATGGATTTTTAATATAGATATTAGATGTTTACGGGTTGTGTTTTATATTTCAGGTTGTCAAGAAAAACGTTTGATACATCTGAAACCTCCAAAGAATTTGGTCCTATTAAAATTGATTTTGGGAAAGTATGTTGTTTTTTTCTGGATGATAGTTCTACATAAATATAAATGCATGCTTAATATTATCAATCCATTGAAATTGTTTCATAATAAAAATGAACATTTTAGTGGTCTTTTTTACATTTTATTATTTTTTTTAACAACTTGTAGGTGCAGTCAAAAGTGAGCATCAAGTATGATTCATGGCACAAGGAGGTGCTCTCAAAGTTTGGAAACATGTTGGGAACTGAGATGCAAGACTTCTTTGGCCAGATATCAAAGGTGGCATGTTCTTTATTATTCTACTTTTGTGTTAACGTTGAATAATCAGCGTTCATCGTTATATTTGTCCACCAAATATTTGACATCTATCATTTCGCTTTTTTATTTGTCAATTATTTGTCAAGTTAATTATTTAATTGCTGTACACTCCATTACAGTTCCACTTGGTTAAAATGCTTTTATTACATCACAGTTTTCATCTCATAGCTGTTTTCATTTTGTTCAGCATTCAATTTTCATTGCTTCCTATCTGCTCAACAGTCGCGTACAGACTTGGAGCAGCAGTCCATTGAAACGTCGAACACATCAGAAGCCGTTGGATTCATCACTTACGTTCAGTCTCTCAAGAAGAAAGTGAAATCATGGGAAAAACAAGTAGGTTGACTGTCTCATTGCTTGTGTTGTGCATTACCTGTTTTTGAGTTGTTCGCAGTTTGGGTTTTGTAATTGTCTTGATTTATTAAATGTTATGTGTTTTCTTATTTGTAACCATTAATAATATAATATATTATAATATTTAGAATTGTTTTTCAGGTGCTCATTATTGGTGTCCATAGTTACTTTCAACAATAAAAATACGTTAACAAACAATTATGATAATTATAACTCACCAGGTGGATTCATACAAGGAGGGTCAGAGGATCCTTGAACGACAGAGGTTCCAGTTCCCGAACACTTGGCTGTACAGTGACAACATAGAAGGAGAATGGGGGGCATTCAGTGACATCCTCAAGAGGAAGGACTCTTCCATTCAAACACAAGTTGCATCTCTTCAGATGAAAATTGTTTCAGAGGACAAAATCGTTGAAAATAAAACTTCAGATCTTCTCAATGAATGGGAACATGATAAACCTGTCCAGGTATACTTATTGCAATTAATGTCATTGCTGTTTTGTTATTTTTAATTTTGCCATTAAATTTGATGTTTATGACAGAACATTCGTTTATATAACTTTGGTGTTCACACAAATTTCGTGTGATGATTCAATGTTAGCTGTAAAATTTCTAAACAGGGTAGTGTGAAACCTGATGAAGCATTGAAAGCACTGACAATATTTGAAGGTAAATTTTCAAGATTGAAGGAAGAGAGAGACAACATTGTGAAAGCCAAGGAAGCTCTTGAACTCTCTGAACCAGGTATTTTATTGTGTTTCCGTATTCGATGCACATGTTATATAAAGTTGATTGCTGTTGTCCATGCGTTATTTGGGATATTGACGGTAACGCTTTTTTAAAATTGTTTTATATAATTAAGTTCCTGAATTATTGTAAAGTATGTGTTACATAAAAGCAAAATACAATTGGGTGTAAAAATTTCAATAAAACTGAAAATCCAGGCCAAATAAGTGCCAGTGACCAGCGCATGATGGTGGGTGCTGAAGAACTGCAAGATCTGAAAAGTGTTTGGGTGGAATTGTCTGCAATCTGGAAAGAAATTGATGAGATGAAAGAGAAGCCATGGTTGTCTATTCAACCAAGAAAGGTTGGTTGTTACGGGAGATTCGCGCAATGAGTTTTTTGTGGACTGTTTGTGAAGAATTTCATACAATTAAAAATTGTATTCAGTAAGTTCCTAAATTTAATTTACCTTAACTCATGTAATTTACAATAATGAATAAACATTGCAGATCCGTCAGTCACTGGATGACTTGTTGAACAAGTTGAAGGAACTTCCAGCTCGCATGCGAAGCTACCCCTCATACGAATACCTCAAATCAGTCATCACCTCTTACACCAAAGTTAATGTCCTCATCGTTGAACTTAAATCTGAAGCTGTCAAGGAGCGACACTGGAAATCTCTAATGAAGAAGTTGAGAGTAAACTGGGTCCTATCTGAACTTACGCTTGGTCATGTGTGGGAAGCTGATTTGTTTAAAAACGAGGCAATTATTAGAGATGTACTGCTTGTGGCTCAAGGAGAGATGGCTCTTGAGGAGTTTTTGAAGCAGGTCTGAACGTGATGCATTCCTTTTTATACACGCTCATTACATAAACAACAATAATAAGATAAATTATAATGTACAAATTTATATTTGAGTAGGTGAGTGAGGTATGGAAGACTTATGAACTGGAGCTGATAAACTACCAAAACAAATGTCGTCTGATCAGAGGCTGGGATGATCTGTTCACTAAGGTCAAGGAGCACATCAACAGTGTTGCTGCCATGAAACTGTCGCCTTATTATAAAGTTTGTTGTCTCTCAATTCATTATTCATGTATGACTATTTGATTATTTTTCATCATAACACAAATGAGGGATTGAATTTAGTTACGTTACTATCAATGTTGAATTTTATTTGACTCTGTTGTCACCGTGTTTACCTCGTGATGTTTATTGTCAGGAATTTGAAGAGGATGCATTGTCATGGGAGGACAAATTGAATCGTATCAATGCACTGTTTGATGTTTGGATTGATGTTCAGAGAAGATGGGTCTACTTGGAAGGTATTTTCACTGGCTCAGCTGACATCAAACATCTGCTGCCAGTCGAAACTTCAAAATTCCAGGGGTCGGTATTTTGATATTCAAATGTATTTATCATCTTTGTTCACTGTTGAGATGATTTTTTGGACGTTACAAGTGGATGGCGTATACTTTTGTATTTGCCAATTATAAGTACAATCCTACTCGGTTTAATTTGTCCTGCTTCATTTTTTAAACTGGGATTGTAACCAGCTTTATTTCTGTTTCGACTAAACAAATCATCCATAATATTATTGTTATTAACAAATCACTCACTATATTAACAACCATCAGAGTGTGCACCGAATTTTTGGCCCTCATGAAGAAAGTTGCCAAGTCACCGCTAGTCATGGATGTGCTCAACATTCCTAATGTTCAGAAACAGTTGGAGAGATTGGCTGATCTCCTTAGCAAGATTCAGAAAGCTTTGGGTGAATATCTTGAAAGAGAGAGATCTTCATTTCCAAGGTTATTGTTTAATTTCAAAAAATGAATAAGCAACTCGGAATATTTTACATTTCTATTATTCAATTTAATGATTAGGAGTTTTTTTTGGTTGGATTAATTTTTGAATTGAGAAATTTGTGACACACAAACAGGTTCTATTTTGTTGGAGATGAAGATTTGTTGGAAATTATCGGCAACAGTAAGAATGTGACCAGACTGCAGAAGCATTTCAAGAAGATGTTTGCTGGTGTGCATGCCATCATCCTTGATGAGGAGCAGACGACCATCACTGGATTGTCGTCAAAGGAAGGGGAAGAGGTTTGTTTGTGTGCGTCAGAAAAGCTTCATAATTAATCTGTTTGTTTGTGTGCGTCAGAAACAGGAGAATTTTATGATTTGCCCATTTACTATTCATCACACAAGTTGAAATCTTACACAGCTGACTCTGCCTCCATTGTAGACATATCTTCACAAATGAATCTTATCAAATTTATATTCACAACAATTTTCACTGTCGGCAGAACATTAGTAACGGATCAATTAAAATATAAATTGTATGTAATATAATGAAAAAAACTTACAGATGAAATTCTTCAATCCTATTGTCTTGAAAGATCGCAAAATAAATGAATGGTTGACGATGGTTGAGCAGGAGATGCGCATGAGTCTGGCACGTCTTCTGGCACAGGCCGTTCAGGACATGGGAGATTTCAGGTCGAAGAACATTGAGCAACAAAAATATCTGCTGTGGGCTGATAAATATCAGGTTATTTGTGTCTTTCAATTATTTTAAAGGTGAAAAACTCTATTGCTGAAATAATGGTGTGATAGGCAAGTACAGATAATTCAAAGTTAATATATTGAGTATTTTTTAAATTTTTATTCTATTATTCTGGTTAATAAATAATTAATATTTGAACTAGTTGATCTATATTATTTTATTTAATGAGTTGTTCAATTGATATCGTTGCAGGCTCAACTTGTTGTGTTGGCCGCTCAAATATCCTGGTCAGAAATGATGGAGAAGGCACTTCAAACCATTGAACAGAAGGCACCAGGCCACGAAACTGCTACTACCGATGTTAGTTTATTTACACATTTTTATTTTTCTACTAAATGGATTCTGGCGAATGAGGTCAATTTTTTATCGTTTCTCTAAGTTATAAGTTGTAATACCTGGCTTTTGTCTTTTGTTGTCTTTTGCGTAATTCATTTAAAATATTTAATTAATTTGAAATTGTTGACAAGGTGCTTGACATAATGGATGCAACTTTGAACGTTTTGGCTGATTCTGTCCTCCATGAACAACCACCTGTCAGAAGAAAGAAGTTGGAACACTTGGTAAGAAAGTGATTTGGTGGAAGATTCGTTTCTTATGTTATATACACATACATTGGTCATATTTGTCAATTTTGGTTTGAAGAGTTGTTACCATTTTTTTGTTTTGGCATCGACTTATGTGATCTTTAATTGAAGCGACATAACATTTTATAATGCACATTGGTTTCTGTTTTACACTGAATATTCTCATTCCTTTGTATCAAAATGTGGTTTTGTATAGAGAAAAGGTGTTAAGATGCTTATCCTATTCATTACATACATGAAATAAATTTCTCCGGGGTCATAAATCTGCAGATAACAGAGCTGGTGCATCAACGTGACGTAACTCGTCTGATTGTGAAGAATAAAGTTTCCAGTCCTCAATCATTTGAATGGCTCTCTCAGATGAGATTCTACTTTGATCCCAAGAATTCAGATGTGTTGCAACAACTCAGCATACACATGGCCAATGCCAAGTTTAATTATGGATTTGAATATCTTGGAGTGCAAGAGAAGTTAGTACAAACACCCCTCACTGATCGTTGTTATCTCACCATGACCCAAGCTCTCGAAGCAAGACTTGGTGGATCTCCCTTTGGTAAGCATTTTTTTCATTGACATTTTTTTCAGTTGAATATATATGTCTAATAATATTTTTTGTGTTATTCAGGCCCAGCAGGAACGGGTAAAACAGAGTCAGTAAAGGCTCTCGGCAACCAGCTTGGCAGATTTGTGCTGGTTTTCAACTGTGATGAAACTTTTGACTTCCAGGTTTTTATTATTTTGTTTGTTCTTCACCAATCAGTTGATTGCGTATCTACTGTAACGTATTTCACCGCACACTCAATGTTTTAAGCTCAATGATTAACATAACATGTCAAAAAACCAGGCCATGGGACGTATATTTGTGGGGCTGTGCCAAGTGGGAGCGTGGGGATGCTTCGATGAGTTCAACCGTCTCGAAGAGAGAATGTTGTCGGCCGTCTCTCAGCAAATTCAGACTATTCAAGAGGCACTCAAGGAAAATGCTGCTGCTGAAAAAGGAGGTTGCAGTTGCATTTCTACAAGATTGATTTTGTTTCTAATTATTTTAAGCATTCCAAAAAAGTCATTTGCACTGTGTCTTATTAAGTTGTTTTGTTGCATTTTCCATGCATTCAAATGATATTCACGAATTGTCAATGTTTATTCAACATGATATCTTGTAATGAACAGCTGCCCAAATTCAAGTGGAGCTGGTTGGCAAGCAAGTGCGAGTTAACAGTGATATGGCCATCTTCATCACCATGAATCCTGGATACGCAGGCAGATCAAACCTGCCAGACAATCTCAAAAAACTCTTCAGGTCACTGGCCATGACCATGCCAGATAGGCAACTCATTGCTCAAGTCATGTTGTACTCACAAGGATTTAGAACTGCTGAGAAATTGGCTTTGAAAATTGTACCATTTTTCAAGTTTGTGTTTTTTACATAGTTTTTAAAAATTGATAATTCATCAGATATGAGGCCAAATATTTTATGACAAAATAGTTGTATACATAAATTAAATTTTACTGTGTATTGCAGACTGTGTTTTGAGCAGTTGTCACCTCAGTCACATTACGACTTTGGTCTACGTGCCCTGAAAAGTGTGCTGGTCAGTGCAGGCAACGTAAAGAGAGACCACATCCAACTAATCAAGCAGGGAATGATTGAGAGACAAGAAACAGTTGATGAGGCTGCCATTGCTGAACATTTGCCGGAACAAGAAGTAAGTTGAAAATTCATTACACTCAGCTATTGTGCAAGCAGTTATTATTAAAAAATATTATAAAATTATAGTTGCTGAGTCAATATTTTGTTAACAGATTCTGATTCAAAGCATCATGGAAACGATGGTGCCCAAATTGGTGGCAGAAGATATTCCTCTGTTGAACAGTTTGTTATCCGATGTCTTTCCTGGCGTATCATACCAGCCTGCTGAGATGGCGAAACTGAAGGAAGAATTGAAGAAGGTGTGTGAGGAAATGTACTTGGTGCATGGAGGTGATGCAGATTCGGTGCATGGAGGTCTTTGGATGGAAAAGGTCTTCATATTTTCTCTTCCTTCTTTTTTTTAATTATGTGGTGTTTTTTTTCTTTTGTGATAACTTTTTAGTTTTTACTTTGTTTTGAAATTATTGCATATATTTTGGTTTCCTTAAAATTCAACTTTTAGTTTTTAGTTTTCATATTATTATTTTTATTTTAAAAAATCTTGTTTGAAAATTTCATGCTCTTGAATGGTCATACTAGTTGAAACTTGACTGAGTTAAACAATTTTAAACTTTTTTTTCCGTACAAAGTACTATATTTTCCGTGGTTTGTCAATAACATGGATCATATATAGACTGTGAATGGTGCAATAGAATTCTTCTCTTAAGTAATGTAATATTTATAGACGTTCCTTTGAGGATAAAAATGTTTATAATAATTTTTTCTAAAATTCTTGTAAATTGTAAATAAATAAATAAATAAATGCATTTGATTAGGTGCTTCAATTGTACCAAATAGCCAACATACATCACGGTTTGATGATGGTGGGACCGAGTGGCAGTGGCAAGAGTACTGCCTGGAAGGTTCTGTTGAAGGCACTGGAACGAATTGAAGGTGTCGAAGGAGTTGCCCATGTTATCGATCCCAAGGTGAGCTGCATACTATGCTGGCTACTCTCTGGATTTTTATGCGTTGACTTAAAATTCTATAATTTTCTATGTATATTGTTTTATTGCTTGGATTTTATTACTGTTGCAATGCATTATGTGTAACTTTTTATCTCTCAATTATTTCATGCAGTCCATCTCCAAAGATTCGTTATATGGAAGCATGGATCAAAACACAAGGGAATGGACTGACGGATTGTTTACCCATATCTTAAGAAAGTTTGTAAACGTCTCAGAATTTTTATCAATAATGAATAATTCTCATTTGTGAAATGATCCAGCAAAACTATTTTCTATTTTTAACGAAATCCCGCTTCTTGTCAAACAAATCAAGTTCATATCTACAAGTTTGTATTTGATTTCCAATAATTTCTCTAAAGAATTATCGACAATGTCCGTGGTGAGATCGGCAAGAGACAGTGGATCATATTTGATGGTGACGTTGATCCAGAATGGGTGGAGAACTTGAATTCAGTGTTGGATGATAACAAATTACTGACACTACCCAATGGCGAACGTCTCGGCATACCACCAAATGTTTGTTTTTTCATTGTAATATTATCTATCATGTTTATTAGTGTAAACTTTTTCAACCGTCAGTCAAACGTGTTGCTGTCATCCTTTCTTGTTTACCTGCAAATTGCACAGACACACACACACTATACAAATGTGTAGCCGCATTTTTAAAAAAAATTTACATTGTGATTTGTGGAATTAGTTTTATGAAGTTTCAAAATAATATTTTACATTTTTCCACTGCTCTATCTTTTTAAAGATTTTCATGTAAAACGACGTTATTTGATATGTTAAAGCAGCTTCATCATTACACTATCATTTTGCCACCTAGGTTCGCATCATGTTTGAAGTGCAAGATTTGAAGTATGCCACGCTGGCCACAGTCAGTCGATGTGGCATGGTGTGGTTTAGTGAAGACGTCCTCACTATGGACATGGTGTTTGAGAACTACCTGTCCAAACTTCGAAGTGTTCCATTAGACGAGAGTGAGGAGGAGCAGAAGAACAAACCAGTTGGTGGAGGAGTTAGTGGTGCAGCTACCGCAAGTGGTGGCAGTGCTGCTGCTGGGGCTGCTGGACAGAGCAAATCTCAAGATGACGAGATTTCTCCATCATTGCAGGTATTTTAGTATTGCTGTTTTAATCTTAAAAATAAAATATGTTTTATTCTTTTATATTGTGTTTATAAATATTTGCGTTTATTTATTTGATCAGATTCAAAAGGATTGTGCAGTTGTTCTGCAGCCATATTTCCAGCACAATGGTCTAGTGAGCAAATGTTTGGACTTCGGAGCAACATTAGAGCATATCATGGATTACACCAAGTTCGCATTTGTTTATTCTATTTCAACTTTTGGCATTAAGGCTGTCTTTTTAGTTAGATCTCAAAAGTTATTAAGTGAAGAGATTAGAAACGTGGAGTCTCTATGATGATGATGAGAATGCTTATCTAGATAAAAAAAAGTGCTGTTGGTTAATAATGCATTTAAATGTTTGCTAGGTTGAGGTCATTGGGCACACTGTTCTGTATGTTGAATCAAGTTGTTCGAAACTTGGTTGCCTACAACCTCTCACATCCGGACTTCCCTATTCAAGTTTGAAATTTTATATTTTTCATGATATTTTTTTGGATATTATTACATGATATTATTGTTTGTACTGGACTACGAGCCATTTATTATTGCATATCTCAATGAATATGGTTTAAAAACTGTTGATATTGAATTTATATTGTTCTTTTCAGTTGAAGCATTATGTTAATTATAAATGTGTTTGCATGAATGATAGTTTTAAATTTAATGACAAACACGTAGGCTAGCCAACTAGAGAAGTACACATCAAAGTCATTGATTTATTCCCTACTCTGGTCCATAGCTGGAGATGGAAAATTGAAGGTTCGTCAGGAGTTAGGAGAGTTCATCAAAGGAATAACCACTGTTCCACTGCCCTCTGGAACCAATCCCATCATAGATTTTGAGGTTTCTCTTCATGTTATTCAATATAATTCAACCTAGGCAATGCCAAACAATCAATTTGTAGCGATGTAAAGTTACACAATGTTATTAATAAAAGGTTATTTACTGTGAATGTCTGACAGGTAACATTGCAAGGTGAATGGATACCATGGACTGCCAAGGTTCCTCAAGTCGAAATAGAAACTCACAAGGTTGGTTTTCTGTATTTTAATGGTGGATTATTTAATTTGTTTAATGTGAGTTGTTTTATTTTTTTCAATGTATGGTTTGGGTTTCCTTTATTTTCAAGGTGGGAACGCCAGATGTGGTTATTCCAACCATTGATACAGTGCGCCATGAAGCATTGCTTTCCACCTGGTTGTTTGAACACAAACCAATGGTTCTCTGCGGACCTCCGGGATCTGGCAAAACAATGACCCTATTTAGTGCACTTCGTGCTCTGCCTGAACTGGAGGTTTTTTAATTTTTTTTTCTAAAACTTTTTTGTTAGAGTTTTTAATATCTACTATAATAATATAATCATTGATTGATTGGTATATTAAAAAGTTGTAAATTGAAATTTTAAGGTGGTGGGTTTGAACTTTTCGAGTGCCACCACTCCTGAATTGATGCTGAAGACATTTGACCACTACTGTGAATATAAGAAGACTCCAAATGGTCTGGTTCTTTCACCACTTCAACTCAACAAATGGTTGGTTCTTTTCTGCGATGAGATCAACTTGCCTGATATGGACAAATATGGTAAAGTTTGTTTATTAATCTAAGAATAATTAGTTGTTTTTGTTTATTTGCTTCATGTGAATAAATTCATTCATGTACTTTTTATGTTGTTGCCGGTGAAATATAATTTAACGTTTTTCACAATTTATTATGAATACTAGCAAAATAAAAGTATCAAAGTCATGATAGAAAAAAAGGGATACTGAATTTTTGGACCTCTGAATTTTATAAACATTCAGTGAGTTGCTTTAAATTATGTTTCTTACCAGGTACTCAACGTATCATCTCCTTCCTACGTCAGATGGTGGAGCATGGCGGGTTCTACAGGACATCAGACCAAACGTGGGTGAAATTTGAAAGGATTCAATTTGTGGGTGCATGCAATCCTCCAACTGATCCAGGCAGGAAGCCTCTGTCTCACAGGTTTGTTTGCTAGTGTTGATAGCATTGGTTGTGCTTGCAGTTATTCTGGCGTGCATTGTACATCTTCATTTGGTGAATCAGTTTGTTGGAATATAGAGAGCAGGTGGAGAAGGACAGAGTGAAAGCGGGGTTGCGTGATACTGAGGCGAGTGACAGATGTGAATGGCGTCGAGGGGTATTTCGGTCTCTTCATAGGTAGCCAAACGGCAACCCCCGATCTAAGGAAAATGTCGTCTAAACGTGTGTGTGTGAATCAGTTTGTTGGAAATGATTTTATAAATGGTTAATTATATCTTTGATTCAATCACTTTTTGGATCAGTCTAACATTTTTAGGTGAACTGTGACGATGCTTTTAAATATTTATATTGTTGTTTTTATTATTTTTTAAAACTGACAGTCATTAATACCATATTCGCACACAACAGATTCCTGCGACATGTGCCAGTTGTGTATGTGGATTATCCTGGACAGGTTTCCTTGTGTCAGATATATGGAACGTTCAACAGAGCCATGCTCAGGTTGATACCAAGCTTGAAGGCCTATGCTGAACCCCTCACTAATGCTATGGTGGAACTTTATTTGCTGTCACAAGTTAGTATATTTTTAATTGACATTCATTATTTCTATAAAACGAACTTTGTCATTGTTTATTGCTAGTGAACTAATTAATTTAAAAGTTTAGCTCTCATATATTCAAAATATAACCGCTTCTTGGCAGACTCGTTTCACTCATGATATGCAACCGCACTACATCTACAGCCCTCGTGAGATGACGAGGTGGGTGAGAGGTATATGCGAGGCCCTGAGACCCCTTGAGACGTTGCCCGTGGAGGGACTTGTCAGGATTTGGGCTCACGAAGCTCTCAGGCTCTTCCAGGATAGGTATTTAAATTTTTAACTTTTATTCTAGTTCTCAATATTCTACTTTTTTCTCATAGAGATTCTATTTCATAATTGTTCCATTTATGTACATACACATGTACATCGTGCATGCATGCTCCTGATTCTCTCAATTGAATGCTCGAACAGATTGGTAGACAGTGAAGAGAGACAATGGACGAATGAGCACATTGATTCGATTGCACTTAAACATTTCCCGAATGTGAACAAGGAAGCGTCCTTGAAGAGACCAATCCTGTACAGTAACTGGCTGTCGAAGGACTACATGCCTGTTGAGCAGGAAGATCTGAGGGATCATGTCAAGGCCAGATTGAAGGTACTGCAATGTTTTTTTTTTCAAATTTCTTTGCAACGTTTTATACTGACTACAGCGTCTTATCGTGATATGGTTATAATGATTATTTCTGGTAATAACGTTCGGAGGATATGTTAACAAACTAATACGGCAAATTTACAGTTATGATCCTTTTAATTATATTTTGTAAGGTGTTCTATGAGGAAGAATTGGATGTTCCTTTGGTGTTGTTTGATGAAGTTCTTGATCATGTGCTTCGCATTGACAGAATTTTCAGACAACCACAAGGTGTTGTTTTAAATTTTGAGATTTCATTCTCCAGCTTATTTCTACCATTCTATATGTGTTGTGAATATTGATTGCCAGGGGTTCATTCTGAATTCTGTGATATTCATAATAATCTGAATCTTGAATAGATTTGAAGAACTTTTGAAATTGGTCACTATTATTATTTTAAAGTTCTGTTTGATTCTTGAGACACAAAACGTTAATAATTGCCACTCAGGCCACTTGCTGCTGATTGGCGTGAGTGGCTCAGGCAAGACGACATTGTCAAGATTTGTGGCCTGGATGAATGGACTAAGTATCTTCCAAGTGAAGGTACACAACAAATACACAGCTGAAGACTTCGATGAAGATCTACGGTCTGTGCTCAGAAGATCTGGATGCAGGGTCTGTTGTTTCATTCATTCACCTATTGGCACTTCTCTTTCCTTAGTTCACTCACACTCCTGCTAATATTTTGATGAAATGTTTAATTTTTTACTAATTTATTTATTGAAACATTTTATTTCTTCTGAAGTAAAATTTTTACATTTTATATTGATTGACTGCAAAACAATTATATTTTTTTAATTATATTATTTTTCTTAACTTATTGATTTCAATGTTGTTATTTTTAATTAAATACTTAACTGTTGCACTGTAATTAAACAAGTCATTTATATTTTTGTATGGCGGTCGATAGGGGGAGAAGATATGCTTCATCATGGATGAATCCAATGTTCTTGATTCAAGTTTCTTGGAAAGAATGAACACACTTTTGGCTAATGGAGAGGTTGTCGATTTAAAAAATTTTAAATTACGTTTCAATTGTGATCGCATCGCTAATTATCCTGTCATAGCTAACTTTTTAAAACTTAAAATAAAATATATTTTTCTAAAAAAAAATATTTCCTAGGTTCCTGGTCTGTTTGAGGGTGATGAAATGACGACCCTGATGACCCAGTGCAAGGATGGGGCACAGAAGGAAGGTCTCATGATTGACACACAGGAAGAATTGTACAAGTGGTTCACTCAGCAGGTTCGTTCATTTAAATGGTCTCGTTATTCTAACAACGTTATATTATTAGAATTCAATAATAATTAACTGATTAAAAAATATTATTGCCAAAAAATGAAATTGCTAAAAAATATTTATATAATCTTATCACATATAATAATTATTAGCACAATTCTAACTAAGATATTAAAACTTTAACATTAGTGTGCAAAAATGTATGAGTTATTGTGTTTAGTTGGTATATGCACTCGCACAAACACATGTAAACATACATATATACACAGACACATGTACACATACATACACAGGTGATGTACAATCTCCATGTTGTCTTTACAATGAACCCGTCATCAGAAGGTCTGAAGGATCGTGCCTCAACATCGCCTGCTCTCTTCAACAGGTTCCTGACATAAGTTTGACCGTGATGATGATGATGAGGAGGATGATAACGACGATAATGATGCTGCTGATGATGAAGACGATGATATTTGACAGTATTGCTTGCCACTATGACGTTGAAAAATGAATGAATGACCGACCAGCATTTTGTTTTTAAAACGATATTTCAGATGTGTACTGAATTGGTTTGGAGACTGGAGCAACAATGCTTACTACCAAGTTGGAAAAGAGTTTACCAGCAAGATTGATCTTGAAAAATCAATGGCATGTTTCCGCTGTCTTGTGTTTCAGAGTTCCATTCAACATAAATGATTTATAACAAGATCATTATTAAAATGCAATTACATATAAATATATGTAATATGTAATAAATATAAATAAAATAAATACAAAAAAATATAAAATACAAAGCTTAAAGCTACTACAACATTAACATTGAATTTATTTATATTCATTTAAATTCATATTAATTATATTTAATATATTTTTCAAACATAAAACAGTACAATGTTCCTCAGAACTTGATTGGCCTACCAGAGAACATTCCGCCACCGACATCGCACAGAGAAGCAGTCATCTCCACCATGGTGTTCGTGCATCAGACACTTCATCAGGCAAACTCGAGAGTTGCCAAGAGAGGGGGAAGGACTATGGCCATCACGCCCAGGCACTATCTGGATTTCATTAATCACTATGTTCGTCGGAAGAGATTTTCCATTCTTTCTAATTGTTTCATTTTGTGAATTGCTTGAAATATATAAATTGCATTTTTTTTGAGTTGCTTTGTTAGCTTTGCTTTTTTATTTTTTCTATTCACATGCTAAATGTTTTGTTTGCCGTGAAAAGGAAAGCAACTGGTGACATTAACACGAAGGATATTTGTTGATTTAATGTACATCCAACTTGAATGCACATAAACAGGTGAAATTATACAATGAGAAGAGATCTGATCTGGAAGAACAACAACTGCATTTGAACATTGGGTTGCAGAAGATCAGAGAAACAGTGGAGCAAGTTGAAGAACTGCAGAGGTCCTTGTCAATCAAGAGGAATGAACTGGAAGAGAAAAATAACCTGGCCAACAACAAACTTAAACAAATGGTTGGCCCATTTGAAATTTAATAATTTTACTTTACAAATTCGGGTCTAAAACTTTAATATTTTTCATACTTTTTTTAGTAAAATTTTTATACAAAATAACTTTAAAATGCTTTTCAAACACACAAACCAGGTGAAAGATCAGCAAGAGGCAGAACGAAAGAAGCAGACGTCAATGGAAATTCAACAAGCTCTTGAGAAACAGACCGAAGTCATCCAGGAGAAGAGGGCAAGTGTCATGGGAGATCTCTCCAAAGTTGAGCCTGCTGTCACGGAGGCTCAACAAGGTCGGTTGTGTGCTTTTGGTGGTGTCATGCTTCATGTCTAAGTGAGTGTGATGGAAGGAGATTGATCTAAATTTGTGCATTCGAAGATTTTATTATTAATGAGTTGGTTCATTGTACAATTATAAAGGCCATTAAAGAAGTTACAGATATTTAAAACTGAATATCAGAGTTCATTTTAAACTTATAAATAGTAGTTTGAAATGTGTTACAGATATTTAAAACTGAATATCAGAGCTCATTTTAAGCTTACAAATAGTAGCTTGAAATGTGTTGCAATATTTCCAAATACGCTAAATTAGTTAAAAGGTTGAGAAATTGAAATAAATGCAAATTTCAGCTGTGAAGGGTATAAAGAAGCAGAATTTGGTGGAAGTTCGATCGCTGCCCAGTCCTCCGCCTGCGGTGAAGTTGGCTCTCGAGGGTATCTGCACGTTGTTGGGAGAGAAGGACATGGATTGGAAGTCTATGAGGCAGGTTATCATGAGAGATAACTTCATCAGCACCATCATCAATTTCAACACAGAGGATATCACGTTAGTTCACATTTTTTTGATACAATGTATGGTGTCGTCTCCATTTAAAATTTTGATGTTTTTGTTTCTCCTCCAGGCTCCCGAAAGTTGTTTTGCTGTCATTAAATTTACTTATTTTGCGAGTTATCAATATTTTTACTTTAATAAGTAACAATTTTTGTTAAACTCAAAAATTTGGCAGGGCTGAAATTCGTCAGAAAATGGACAAATACATAAAAAATCCTGAATATACATTTGAGAAGATCAACAGAGCGTCAATTGCTTGTGGCCCCATGGTCAAATGGACTATTGCCCAGATCATGTACTCTGAAATGTTGAACAAAATTGAACCACTTAAAAATGAACTGACTGCTCTGGAAGTTGAAGCCAACGAAAATCGCAAGAAAAACGAAGAAATGCAGAATCTAGTGGCCCAACTTGAGAAAAGTATTGCAAGATACAAGGAAGAATATGCTCTTCTCATCAGTCAGGCACAGGCTATCAAGGCTGATCTCGCTTCTGTGGAGACCAAAGTGATTTGTTTGATTTGTTTTTGTATACAGACGGATAATGGTTTTTGTGTTCTCATTAAATTTAGAATTTAATTGTGAGATATTTTAATATGAATGGTAAATTTTTAGTATGTACATGTATGGTGAATTTAATTGTGTTTTAATCATGTGATCGTAAATAATCTTTTTAAAAAAGAAAAAAATCATTTTTGCATCTCATTGGAAACAAATAAATAAAATTGCTCTTTGCACTCAGGTTGGCAGAAGTGTGGCACTGCTTCAAAGTTTGACGGGAGAACGAGCCAGGTGGGAGATGGGTAGTGAGTCATTCAAGAACCAAATGTCGACCATCATCGGAGATGTTCTCGTTATGTCTGCTTTCATGGCCTATGCTGGTTATTCACTGTTTTCTGGTGTTTGAATGATTTTAAGAAGATGTATTCGTAATTTCAATTTTTCAAGTACACGTTGACAAACAGGTTATTATGACCAACACATGAGGCAGAATCTCTTCCTGACCTGGTGCCACCATATGCAGGACTTCAACATTCAGTTCAAGTCTGATATCGCCAGAATTGAGGTTAATATCCTTCAAATCGATACCTTCAAGTTGATTACTATCTTTAAAGTTTGATGCATGTTTTGTTTGAGGGTGATTTGATGATGTGTGCAGTGTTGTTGAAAGTGGCTGTGTTATTATAACGTGTGATAATATGGTGTTATCTTTGTTTTTTGTAAAAGATTTTTATAATGTTGCTCAAATAGATTAAAATAATCATTTTTCATTTGATGTTTCCAATGTAGTACTTGTCCAATGCTGACGATCGATTAAAGTGGCAGGCATGCAGTCTGCCCTCTGATGACCTGTGCACTGAAAATGCAATCATGCTCAACAGATTCAACCGGTTTCACTCATTTTTATTATTCAATTATGTGTGAACTCTGTTTTATGGTACTGTGTTCGAAAAATATAGTTCTTTCCTACTCTAGTTCAATGTTATAATCTAAACTGAAGCTTCAAAAAAAATGTTAGATTTCGATTTTGAAAATCTAGAGCAGTTTGTGATAATCTTTCTATGCAGTATGTGATGTGAGACAACAGATTTTTCATCAGATGATATGTTGTCACTGTTTAATGTCCTAATAGCACGAACGTTAGACAGCTTATTAGAGCGAGTAAATCGAATGTAAACTATGTTTGAACGATCGATCGATTAATTTTCAACAGGTACCCACTGATCATTGACCCATCTGGTCAAGCAACAGAGTTTATACTCAACTTCTACAAGGAAAAGAAAATCACGAAAACGAGGTTAACTTCAATGTTTTTTACCTTGAAAATTGTTTTCAAATTTGTGATCTATGGTTCATTTCTAAGCACTTTTTTGAGCTATTTTTATTTAAAAAGAGAGAGAATTTTAGAATTACTGTTATTGAACTTAAGTTTTTCACATTAAACTTAAGTTTGAAATTTTTAGCTCATGGTTTAATAAGGCATTTCAACTGAACTATCTGTACTTAAAATCAAAATTTAAAAAATTGTAATGAACACAGTTTCCTGGATGATGCGTTCCGTAAGAACTTGGAGAGTGCACTTCGATTTGGAAATCCTCTGTTGGTGCAGGATGTGGAAAGTTATGATCCCGTCTTGAATCCTGTGCTAAACAGGGAGTTGAGGAGGACGGGAGGCAGGGTTCTCATCACCCTTGGAGACCAAGACATCGATCTTTCACCATCATTCACCATTTTCTTGTCCACCAGAGATCCTACTGTTAGTGCTGTTGTAAATTCTCGTTTATTATTTAATAAATAAATATAATTTGTTTTTAGTTTTCAATGTTTGCAGTTTCTTCAAATGCGATTATCTTGAATATTTAAAAATGAAATTTCATTCATGATGATACTAAATTTAATATAAAATGATAGGTTGAATTTCCTCCGGATTTGTGCTCCAGAGTGACATTTGTCAACTTCACCGTTACACGAAGCAGTTTGCAGAGTCAGTGTCTGAACCAAGTTCTGAAGGCAGAGAGACCTGATGTCGATGCAAAAAGATCAGATCTCCTCAAGTTGCAGGGTTATCATTTTTATTATTTTCTTATTTACTGATATACATTGCATATATTGATTGTGTCAAGCCACATGATTGAGGATAAAATTTCATCACTAGTAGTTATTAGTTGGGGGCGTTAATTATTCCACAATATATATTCTCTAAACTGGTTTACGGGCAGATGTTTTGGTTTCACCTATTTGCTTTTTGAATCTTGCTATATTTTATTGTTTAAATGCTTTCTTTAACGTTAAAATGTTTAGCTTTATGTTAGCATCATAACGTTAACCAGGTGAGTTCTTGTTACGATTGCGTCACTTGGAAAAGTCACTGCTGACATCACTGAATGAGGCGAAGGGTCGCATTCTGGATGATGACAGCATCATCACTAACTTGGAGATGTTGAAGAAGGAGGCCCAGGAGATTGCGAAACGTGTTGAGGAGACAGATGCTACAATTGCGGAAGTGGAGAGCACGTCTCAACAGTACAGTGCATTGGCTCAGTCATGCAGCAGTATTTACTTCACTCTTGAATCTCTTAATCAAGTATGAACAAGCAGGCCTATGTATATTGATACTTTATATTATTTTGTTTTTGCATTACAATTTTTATCAAAATATTATTATTTAAATTTTATTAATTTCTGCCATTTTAAAATAAACTTTCTTAGGTCCATTTCCTGTATCAATATTCACTGCAATTCTTTTTGGACATTTTTGGTTGTGTCCTATGCAGTAAATCTCTTCAAGTTAGTTTCTAAACGCTTGAATTTTACAACGATTTTTGAATTTTTAAATCTATAAAGAAAGTTACTGTGATCAGTTGAATTGATGTTTTGAAAGCATATCCTTTTATCTTCTACAGGGGATTACAAACTACACAACAAGGCTTGATATCATTATCAAGGAAATATTCCAGGTTCATATCTTATTTATTCGAGTTCAAATAGTGTGAACTATTTATTTATCAATTCAAATTTTTGCTATTTCTTCATGTCTCGATTGAATCATGTTAGAAGTATTTTTTCTCTCTGACGGCGTCACAACTTTAATTGCTTGCTGGTCAATAACTTAAGGATAATTAATGATACCAGGTGACATTCAGCAGAGTATCGAGAGGCATGCTCCATCAGGATCGAATCACGCTGGCTGTTCTCATGGCCAGAATTCATCTCAAGCTCTCACCCAAGTACGCTTTTCAATGAAATGTAACCTTGCGAAATATATACACTGCCGATAAAGATAGGCTTGGTCCCTTTTCATTTAAACCGCCCGGTTACTGCATTACAGCAACAGACACATTTCCTCAATCGCGTCACCTATATAAAATAAATATAACAAATATTCATGTGACTGAGGATTTTTTGTGAGAGCATTAATGTATGCCTATCAAATTAATTTGTTGCATATTGCATCTTGTGTAAAATTTGTTGTGCAAATTTAATTTATCACCTCAGTTTTTATAAAAAAAATTTAAATTTTGCAAAATGAAATTTGTTTGATATGCAGTGAGCCACAGTATGAAGCAGAGTTCACACATTTGATGAGAGGACAGGAAGGGTTGTTGAAGGAAACCCTTCCCAAATATGATTATTTGAAGCCAAGCCAAATTGAGGCACTGGTTCGTTTGGAAAAACTTCCAAAGTTCAAAACCGTCAGACGTAATCTGGACAACAATGAAGTAAGTTTTTTAGTTTAGTTCTTTTAGTTTTGGTTGATATAATTTAATATCTTTTTGCAGGATGAAATCAAGCAGTGGCTGGATGTGGTAGCAGGCGAGCAGGAAGTTCCTGTCATTTGGGATGAAGACAAACCTTTAGGTATGTATAGTCACGCTTTTTTTATTCTTGTATGTTTTTAAACATTAAATTTTAATACATTTTAAATCAAAGATGTTTCGTGTTTTAAAAATTTTTATTATTCAACTTTTATAATATTGAAGCGTCATCAATCAGGTCCTGTTGGACAGGCAGTTTACAAGATGTTGATGATCCATGCATTCAGGCCGGACAGATTGTTGGCTGCTACTAATCAATTTGTCAATGCGGTCCTCGACCCGTCCTTCCTGGCAGATGCTGAGAAGGAACTCGATCTGGCATACGTCGTGGAAAATGAGGTTTGTGTAGTTTTGTAAATGAAATATGTCAAGTCAATAAGTCTCTGCTTGTTTCTTTGAATTAAAATTTTGGATGTTTTGTCCTACTTTCATTAAATGTTGCATAAAAAAACAGCATCTATTTGCTTATTACTTTGTTTTTATTATTAAATCTTTATAAGCAATTGCAAGAACAAATTCAACTGTTATAAACAATATTTTTGTGTTGCGACAAATTAATGTACTTACACCACGGCTCATGTGAACTACATTGATTAACTGTCATAGGGCATTATTATTTCACTTTTATACTCATGCATTATTTTGCTTTAAACTTAAAATGTTTTCTTTGTCAGAATGCAGTTGATAAACTATGTTCATAAAATATACCGAATAGAGATTATGATTAAGACGTGTGCTGATAAAGACCATTTTTAAAATATTCAAATGCATACATACATATTAACCATCCTGTTAATATGATAAGTCTGCAAACATGTGTGCATAGAACGGACATACAAATTTTATTTGCAAGTGCAGCTCTAAATGGAAAGGTGTATAATACGAAACGAATGAATTTTAATGACGGGGCTTAAATACAAGTTTTTGACATCTAATATTAATATTTTATGATAAAATTAGTTTTTAAAATGCCGTTGATGCAAGAATGCTTTTGTTCTTGGTTGCTTCTATTTTTCATTTTAAATTTGCATTTCTAATGAATTTTAAAATAAAAAACGTAATGGAATCTTTTTGTTAAGAAACCTTCTCCGTTTTATATATATAAAACACAAAAGTTAAAAACATTTTCTAAAACAACATGCAGTTCAAATTTTGTCGATGGATGAATTCTCTTTCATTCTTCTGGCACTTAAAAACAATTTTTTTTTAATTTTTTATTTGCATCTTCATTTCAGACTATTATTTAATTTTTTGTCAAATTGTTCTTTTATTTAAAAATTTTTTTAGGAGTGTTTTTATTTTAGACTCTTATTTGATTTCTGTCAAATTGTACTCTTATTCATTATTATTGTATTTTTACTATTTTTTGTCATTACTATTTTGTTTCTCGCTGGTGTATTTTTTCATGAATTTATAATTTCATATTTATTTATAAATTTTGTGTGTTCATTTTTTCATATTTTACTTTTGCATTCACATCTTATTTTCATACTTTTTGTTTTTTTTTCAAAATTTACAACATACTGTTAAAATATAATATAAAATAATATAATATACGTTCAAATAACTTGTATCCAGTTACAACAATTTACAATGAAAGTACATAAACTTCACAGAGAAATATGCAGTCAAAAACTGAAGCTTTTTTTCAGCATTGTAACATCATTTCTAAATACTATTAATTGAATTTTAAAGCATCTTTCATTAGAAATGCATATTGACATTATTGAAATAGCTGAAATTTTACGTCAAATTATCGAATTATTTAGACCATTATAATCAAATACTTTAGAATTTATATGCAAATGCCACAACATCGTATACGGTTTTTAAAATTTAACACTTTACTGCCAGAACGTTTTATCTAAAAACTAGAACAATTTAACAAATTACAAAACACCAGAACATTTTATCCAAGCACTAGAAAATCGCATCTGAATACTGGAACATCACATCCAAATTCTAGAATATCACATCCAAATACTAGAACCCCACATCCAAATACTAGAACATCATATCCAAATACTAGAACACCACATCCAAATACTAGAACACCACATCCAAATACTAGAACCCCACATCCAAATACTAGAACACCACATCCAAATACTAGAACACCACATCCAAATACTAGAACACCACATCCAAATACTAGAACACCACATCCAAATACTAGAACACCACATCCAAATACTGGAAACTCACATCTAAATACTAGAATATCTCATCCAAATACTAGAACATCATATCCAAATACTGGAACACCACATCCAAATACTGTGGGACATCATATCCAAATACTGGAACATCTCATTCAAATACTAGAACACCACATCCAAATATTAGAACATCTCATCCAAAAACTAGAATATCTCATCCAAATACTGGAATATCACATCCAAATACTAGAACATCACATCCAAATACTAGAACATCACATCCAAATACTAGAACATCGCATCCAAATACTGGAACACCACATTCAAATACTAGAACATCACATCCAAATACTGGAAACTCACATCTAAATACTAGAATATCTCATCCAAATACTAGAACATCATATCCAAATACTGGAACACCACATCCAAATACTGTGGGACATCATATCCAAATACTGGAACATCTCATTCAAATACTAGAACACCACATCCAAATATTAGAACATCTCATCCAAAAACTAGAATATCTCATCCAAATACTGGAATATCACATCCAAATACTAGAACATTTCATCCAAATACTAAAACACCACATCCAAATACTAAAACACCACATCTAAATACTAGAATATCTCATCCAAATAATAGAACATCACATCCAAATACTAGAACATCGCATCCAAATACTAGAACATCGCATCCAAATACTGGGGCATCATATCCAAATACTGGAACATCTCATCCAAATACTAAAACACCACATCCAATTACTAGAACATCATATCCAAATACTGGAACACCACATCCAAATACTTGGACATCATATCCAAATACTGGAACATCTCATCCAAATGCTAGAACACCACATCCAAATATTAGAACATCTCATCCAAATACTAGAATATCTCATCCAAATACTGGAATATCACATCAAAATACTAGAACATTTCATCCAAATACTAAAACACCACATCCAAATACTAAAACACCACATCCAAATTCTAAAACACCACATCTAAATGCTAGAATATCTCATCCAAATACTAGAACATCACATCCAAATACTAGAACATCACATCCAAATACTAGAAACTCATATCCAAATACTGGAACACCACATTCAAATACTAGAACATCGCATCCAAATACTCGAACATCGCATCAAAACACTAGAACATCATCTCCCAAAACTGGAACATCTCATCCAAATACTAGAACACCACATCCAAATATTAGAACATCTCATCCAAATACTAGAATATCACATCCAAATACTGGAATATCACATCCAAATACTAGAACATTTCGTCCAAATACTAGAACATCATATCCAAATACTGGGCCATCATATCCAAATACTGGGCCATCATATCCAAATAATAGAACATCACATCCAAATACTAGAAACTCATATCCAAATACTGGAACACCACATCCAAATACTAGAACATCACATCCAAATACTAGAACATCGCATCAAAACACTAGAACATCATATCCAAATACTGGGCCATCATATCCAAATACTGGGCCATCATATCCAAATAATAGAACATCGCATCCAAATACTAGAATATCGCATCAAAACACTAGAACATCATCTCCAAAAACTGGAACATCACATCCAAATACCAGAACATCATATCCAAATACTGGAACACCACTTCCAAATACTAGAACATCGCATCCAAATACTAGAACATCGCATCCAAATACTAGAGCATCACATCTAAATAATAGAACATCACATCCAAATACTAGAACATCACATCCAAATACTAGAACATCACATCCAAATACTAGAACAACATATCCAAGTACTAGAACAACATATCTTAGTACTAGAACATCACCAGTGTTTTTCATTACCGTTATAGTTTTAAAAATTTCCAAACAATACAGTTAAAATTGTCTTTATGATTTACGATTATTCTACCATGCGTTAGTATTTACGACAATAAATGTTTTTATTGATGATAATTACATTATTAAAATGTAATTGATTATATTTCACAATTTGCTTTAATAAGGTGAAATCCAACACTCCAATATTGATGTGTGCAGTTCCTGGATTTGATGCAAGTGGGCGAGTGGATGATTTGGCTGCTGAACTCAACAAGCAAATCACTTCTATTGCTATTGGTTAGACTCAAAATTTTCATTTTATTGTTAGCATTTATATCAGCAATTCATAAAAATTTGTCTATGATCATAAACCAATGCAATACATTTTATACAATGTATTCAACATTTAATTTGTTTTTTTTTGTAACTCGATAGGGTCAGCTGAAGGTTTTAGCCAAGCAGACAAGGCCATCAACTCGGCCACAAAGAATGGAAAATGGGTAATGTTGAAGAACGTTCATTTGGCTCCTCAGTGGCTCGTGCAACTGGAAAAGAAACTCCACAGTCTAACGCCACACAATAGTTTCAGACTCTTTCTTACTATGGAAATTAATCCAAAAGTGGGTATTTTTTATTTCTTTTCCATAAATTTACAGTAATTTTGCTTTTATTTAGTAGCAATAATGTCATAAAATGGCTTACAAAATCGTGGAATATGATATTAAATTGTATTAAAATTATTGTATGTCAGTTACCTGTCAACTTGTTGAGAGCTGGAAGAGCATTCGTGTATGAACCCCCTCCAGGTATACGGGCCAATCTGCTTAGAACGTTCAGCACCATTCCAGCTGCGAGGATGACTAAGGTAGACAAACTTCTTTTTGGATTCGAATTTGTGTTTTATTTGTATTTTACTTATCTGTTTCTGTTGGGATTACTTCTATCATTAACAATAGTATGCCTAAGCTGCTCTATTTTTAGGTATTTATCTTGTTAAGTAATAAATACAGAGCTAGTAAACTGTACAAAAATGGTGGTTACTTAATAAAAAAACATTTATTTGAACCATTTGAAGTTATAAAAAATTATTATAATTATAATATAATAATAATTATAATAATAATCATTTTTCAAACAAATTGTTTCAAATAATTGTTAAGGCTCCATACGAAAGATCGAGATTATACTTCTTGTTGGCTTGGTTCCACGCAGTTGTGCAGGAGAGGCTGACGTATGCACCACTGGGATGGTCCAAGAGGTTTGACGTACTTTTGTCTTTATTCAAGTTTTATAATTTTTATAATTTCTCTCTTCATTAGATTTTTTTCCATTCATATTTTGTCTCAGTATGCTTCATTGCCTTCATTCACATCATTCACATCATTCACAGATACGAATTCAATGAGTCTGACATGAAATGTGCTTGCGATACGATCGACATCTGGATTGATGCTGTATCTCAGGTACAGTTAATTATTTCTGTTAAGATTTGTATCACTTGAGTTTCCTCATTTCACTTTTTTAATTTCCTCTTCAAAGTGTTAGCAACAAACGTCCCACATACACATACACACAGCACTGCGTGCACATGTATGAAAACATTAGGCACTTTTTAATATGCTAAAACATTATTACATCTTGCATTTGAATAATGTTGTGTTAAGCCTGGTACTTCTTCTATCATTGAGCCATTTGTGCTACTGATGTGTTACATTCAGTTTACCAGCATTTAATAATGTCTTTCTCTCCAATGATGGTCGTTTTAACATTTTGAACCCCTGCAGGGTCGCACGAACATCCCGCCGCAAAAGGTACCATGGGATGCATTCAGAACGCTCCTGTCACAATGCATATACGGTGGCAAGATTGACAACCAGTTTGATCAGGCTAGTTATCTTGATTTGATGACGCAATTATTATTTTAGTTTTATGCCCCAATAAGACAGACTGTTGGAAATAATATTATTTCTTACCTATGTAAAGTTATTTGAGGGCCTTAAGTTCGTAAATTTTTTTAAATTGACACAATTAATTTTGGATTTCTTGTAATAACTCACCTATATTCAAATGTTAAATGTTTTTATTGTTACGTTGAATAGCGTCTGATGACAGCTTTCGTGAACAAGTTGTTCACTGAGAAGAGTTTTGATTCTAAATTTGTGCTGGTTCCTTCGATCGATGGCAACAAGGAGAAGAACATTTGCATGCCTGACGGTGTCAAGTTAGTTTATCATCTTCACTATTATAATAATTTATTTAGTTATTTCAATGCTTACTTTACTTTTTTTCAATATTTCTGATCAAGTAAAGATGCGTTGGATAAATTGTTTCTGTTTATTATAAGTTTTATTCAATTGAAATGAACCGACAGGAGGGATGATTTCGTTCACTTTATTGAAACTCTCGGTGATCAACAGACGCCATCGTGGCTGGGTCTGCCAAACAACGCTGAGAAGGTACTTCTCACCAGTCTAGGTAGGTTGGTTGTTTGATTTGCTTATTGGATGGTGTTGATTGATTGATCAGTTGTGATTGATCTATCGGTCAGCCAATTAGATTATTTGATTTGTTTGTTGATTAGTTTGTTTGCTAGTAAATAGATTTACAAAAATATGTAGTTGGTTTAATAATTGACCGAATGATTTTAGAAAATTTATTGTTCATTGATATCAAATGGCTCTCTTATAATTTGCCATGCCAGGTTCGGAAATGATAAACAAAATAATGAAGATGCAGATGTTGGAGGATGATGAGGAGCTGGCCTATGCACCCGTTTCTGATTCCTCGAACAAGGAGAGGAAAGCAGTTGATGGCAGGCCAGCTTGGATGAGGACGTTGAGCAATTCGCTCCACACCTGGTCTCAAATGCTTCCTAAGGTTCTAATATCTTTTCATCTGTTTTTTATTTGTCGTTATTATTGTTCGTTATCAATTAAATCAATGAATTAAATTATTTCATTTTTGAATGAGAATAATGATTTGGTTATTTGGATTCTTCATCGACAACCCGCAATGATACTAACAACACTTGTCAGAAGACATGTGCATTGTAACATTTGTTGTTACATTTTTGCTATTGCTGCATAAAAAATGTGGCTTTGAATTTAAAGAGGTTTATGCTGAGAAGTAGGCAGTTAGGTTGGTAGATTATTCCACCGTTGATAGTAAACAGTCACATCACAACCTGCCAACTGCAATGGTAACTAACTCGTTAAATTATTCCTGAAATAGGTGAACCAATTGATTTGTTGTTTAGGAAATCAGTTTAATGACTGATCTATTGATTTAATGTATTGGTTGATTTAATTTTTTGATTGATTGCTTACTTGATTGAATGGATGATTGGCTGGGTCGCTAGCTAGTTGGTTGATCGGTTGGTTGATTAATCGATTGATTGATTAATCGGTTGGTTGGTTAGTTGGTTGATTGCTTGATTGATTGATTGGTTGATTGAGATAATCCGAGTTCGTTTATTCAATTTTACTTGATAATTGTAATTCATTTAATCTTCTTTCATAGATGGTGAGTCTCAATAAATAATATAAGTATAAAACTTATATTTTGTACAAATTGTAAAATATGTTGAGATGGGCGAAATTTTGTTTAATTTTCATTTCAATAACAACAACTATCAACATAGAAGTCATTTTGTTTGTATGAATGAAAATATATTATATTATATTATATTATATTGTATACATAGATATGGTGCTGGATGCAATTATTTTTACATAAAGTGTGTTAACAAGTATCTATACTTGAAATTTAAGTTTTTTGGTCATTTCAGTGAAAGAAATTTACTTCAATTAAATTTTCTAAAATTTGGAACTGAAAAGTTAGGTTGAGGGTTAACTTCTAACCATAACCCCGCCCATCTTATTCATTAGATCATTTTAAGTGAAATTGAAATTAACCTATTTTTTTAATTTTTGTAATTTATATTATGTTAATTTATTTAATATTTAATTTATTAATTATTTTGTCAGCCTAATTATTTGTTTGCTGTCTGCATTGTTGATCATTATTTCATTAGGTGTATGGTGTTTATTTGTTTGTTGATTTTATGTGATTTTTAATATTATTTTCATCAGTTAAAATTTTTATCTGCCACAATTTTAATGCCTTTTTTTCTATTTTTTTTATCAAAATTTCGGAATTGGTTTTATTAATTTCATTGTTTAAGCCAATTAATTGTAGAAATGAGTTCATTCAAAATCTCATGTGCATTTATGTGAAAACATGACAGTCACTCAAGAATCAGTACTTTGTTAAAAGTCCATGTTTATGACTCACACGACACACCATTCTTACTCCATAGGCGATCACACATCAAAAGTTACTTCTAAAGCAATCACAATAATAAAAAAAATTTTACAAAAAATTCAATAAACTTTCATTCTCTGAGCCATACTACATAGAGAGCATGTTGTATTGAATGACAGACAATTGCTCCGCTGAAGAGGACCACGGAGAACATCAAGGACCCTCTGTTTAGATTTTTTGAAAGGGAAGTGAATGCAGGCATCAAGTTGTTGGCTGATGTAAGGAGGGACATGGAAGATGCCATGCAGATATGTTTGGGAGAGAAGAAACCGACCAACCATCACAGAGTTCTCATAGCTGAGTTGGCCAAGGGTTTGTGGTTGTGGTGATGTCTGTGCTGTAGGTGTTAGGGTTAGGGTTAGGGTCTGTGTTGGGTCTGTGTTGGTATATGTGTCATTTTTATTTCTATTGTGTTCTGTCATTTAAAATATTATTTTTTGTATTTTAAATGTCAAATTCCATTTCTCTTGTTTTTACATCTTATTAATTTTCATTGGTTCTTTTGACGAGTTACTCTATATATTTTACGATATTGTTTTCTGCACTATTTAAATTTGACTAACAATATTGATTAAATTAATAATTATTAATCTTCCAAGTTTTGTGGAATAAAACATTGAATTGAATTAACGAGTAAAATATGCTGTTGGTTAATTTTAATTAGGTAATTAATTAATTAATTAATCAGGGATCATCCCGAAGACCTGGCAGAGGTACACAATCCCTCAGGGCATTACAGTCATCCAGTGGATCACCGACTTCAGCGATCGAGTTCGACAGCTTCACTCCATCTCGCAGGCCAGCTCGCAATCTGGTCCCGCTGCTCTCAAAGTAAACCACCACCACCTCTTCTTCCTCTTTACATTCTGACGTCTCACTTCTTATATTTCATTGGGATACAGATTCTGTTTTATGCCTTGTCTAATAGTTATGATCATTATTACAATTGCAGTCTTTTGATAACGATCGTTGATTACTTTCTATATTGATCAGTTATTTGTCTTATTCATGTGTTTACTACATTTGCTTGTGCAATCGTGTATGTAAAAACTGCATTCAATAAATCAATTGCACAATAAAAATGCAGCCTCGTTGTTTGCATGTACTTGTACATACAAGATGTTTGCATAACATGTATGTATGTATGTATGTATGTAAGTATGTATGTATTTTATTTATTTTTATTTATTTATTGGAAGATATGTATGTATGTATGTATGTATGTATGTATGTATGTATTTATGTATGTATGTATGTATGTATGTATGTATGTATGTATAAAAATGTGTGCCTACACGTTTGAAGGATTTGTACAAAAACGTGTGTTTACGAACAATCACACACACACACGTGCACCCAACAGAACTTGCATCTGTGGTTAGGTGGTTTGTTCATTCCTGAGGCATACATCACGGCATCTCGTCAGTACGTAGCCCAGGCCAACAGCTGGTCACTGGAGGAACTCTGTCTGCAGGTCTGTCCCTTCGTTTCTTTGCAAGCTTGTGATATATTTATCATTAAGTCATTTAATTTATTCAGATATTGGTCTTTTGGTTCTTTCTCTTATTCTGCTGCTCGACATAAGTAGTCCTTGTTTAAATTTTCTGCCTGTTTCATTTAATTTCAGATTTACTTTTTTCATTAAAAAAGTTATTTACCATTTTATCAGTGCACAAAACTTACACAGACAGCATTTGAACTAGGTCACTTAGTTATTGTTTTTTAAAGCAAATAATAAATAATTTGAACATAACGAAACGTGCAGGTCATAGTGCATGAGAACAAGGACAAGGTCAAATTGGATGCATGCAGTTTCGGAGTTGTCGGTTGGTTGCGGCTGCTCATGTCGTTGTTACTCATCTAAATTTTCTTTAGTCATTTATTAACATCACTGTGAAAACTTGTTGTATTCATTGTTGGATTAGTTTGAGATCAATCACGTTGGCTGGTTGACGTGTGGCTTTTGCTTAGGGGGTTGGAATGGTGTGCTCTGATTGGATTGAATATATATGGTGTGCAACAGTAAGGATTGAATATTTTCAAATGTTTTCAAGTTTGTTATTTGAGTGTTTCAGCATACATGTTTCTGTCAGTTACAACTTACGAAGTTTCATTTTGTGTTTTGTGCTGCAGAAACATTTGATTAGGTGACACAATAATCCAAATACTAATGAATTGTATTAGAGTGATTTAGTATAAGAAGTATGATGAGGATATTAATGATAATGATAATAGTAATAATGATGTTTTGAAGGTTTGAAGTTGCAAGGCGCTCTCTGCAGTGACAATGCCCTTCAACTCTCCACAACCATATCAACGGACCTTCCTATTGTCTGTCTCAAATGGGTTCGGTATGTAACTTCATATTCTTTGCTTATCTGTGTTATCAATGTATGCGCGCTTGTGTTGTTTTCGTTTGTTTGCTAGCTCCTGTGGCGTGATGTCTTCCAAGACCTGCAAATTTTTGTTTGTCATATTTGGTTGTGCTGATATTGGTTAGGTTTTGTTTCTTTGGATCAGCAAGTGACCGATGAAAATGATGAATATGTTGTCAATAAAAAATATTGTTCAGCTGATTGTGATGATACATTAACTTAATTGCACCACCAGTTTTGACAGCATCCAATCATCAGAGACGCGCATCAACCTGCCCGTCTACCTGAATCCCTCCAGAGCTCAGCTTCTCTTCACTGTTGACTTCGAGTCGAAAGGTGAGGGTTCAGGCAAGGACCACAGTTTCTATGAGAGGGGAGTGGCTGTCATCGCAAGTTCTCTTGGGTCCTGATCAACTTGAAAGTTGTTGTCTTCAGGATTGTGCTGATATGGATTTAATGATAAAAATGCTTGAGATGGCAATGGATTATCATAGTTCGATCCTAGTAAAACATATATATAGAAAATTTTAATCATTAAATTAGCTTTTTTTGTGCTAAACTTTAATTGAACCAATTATATCTTAGAATCACTATACTTTCCTTATTATTGTATTTTAACGAAATTTTGGTGGATTGATAAATTACAGGTGGATGAATATCAATGTATTGCTACGAAACATTTACTAAATTAAATTAACTTTATTAAATTGACCCGTTTGATTTTGATTCGTGGGTTAAAGTTCACGTTAAAATTTCGTCGTTATGTCACATTCAACTTTTAAAACATCAAATGTAGTGATGGGAGCGTTATTACGTAAATTTTAATAATAGTTGATAGCTTTCACATTTCTTTTGTTCATCTCGTTCCAATGCTTATTTGCTTTATTCATTGTCTATTTGTTCCGTTGTTCTCAATCACATTTCGAGCATTTGACCACACGCTGTTTTGGCTGGTTGAATAAAATTATTAAATAATGATTTGTTTTGGCTGGTCGAATAAAATTATTAAATAATGATTTGTTTTGGCTGGTTGAATAAAATAATTTAATAGATGCCGTCCTCAATCATATTTCAAAGCCGAGTGGCTGCTTGACATTCATTTTTGAACGATCGATTTGCACACGGTCTGTTGAATAATCATTCCACTCACTCGTGCGTGAGTCTCAATCAACTAACTACCCGATGCACTGGCATGCTGAAATGTTTGGAAATATGCGCTATCGATTGAGTATCCATCCTATCGAGTTGCTGTCAATGCTGTGCAAATAAACGTGGCTGCTTCCTATTTTCATTAGATGTGGCGTTGCCTGCGCACGCAGCTGGTACCTATTGCGAGCATCATACGTTGTGTTGCAGGTCGGCTGGTTTGTACGTGAACGTGGTCGGTTCGTATGTTGCGTCGTTCGATAGCCTCAACTTTCGGCCGATGAACCTAATAATACGGGAGCATTAAGTTAGTTAACGATTTGTGTGCACCTGCAAATGCTTACATCCGAGCTATTATTTCATGAGGATTTTTGCAATAAACTTGACTTTCAAAACCACTTATTCGAGAAGTTGATTTATTGAAAACATACAAACAACTTCGACAATCGTTTTGAGAAAGGGTCCTAAATGACTCGATGAAATGTGTTTAAAATATTCAAAAACAGCTTCATGATAAATTAAAATTTGTGATTAATCAATTCTTTTAGTTTTAGAGCGGCAAGTTAGTTTAGTACGGTGGAACTTCGCTATAAATTTGTCTGCAGCGTATAACTTCATATGACAGGATCGTGTTTATAGGCAGGTACCAGGAGGATGATCATGGCTGATGCAGTCATCGATGTAAAGATGATAACGAAGAAGAGGCTGTCCAAAACATGAGCCACTTCCTTCCATTCGTGAGTCAGATCAGTTCTCGAAGGCTTCGACCGATTCTCTCTGAATGGCCTGTTCAGTGTTATGATAGACACTTATTGTACTCTCGAGATATTGATTTAACTAATTTTTAACTTGGTGGGGAATAAAAATCGTTTGAAATTATTAAAATTATAAATAACTTAATACGTACCTCCTTCCAAGATTTTCGACATCCAACTGCTCATCTTCCAGTTGCCCGTTAATTTTTGAACTCAACACAGGATTCTGATTATTTAAAACTTGGCGAAGTCCATTTTCCAAAGATGTTGATAATTCTTTTCGTTATCAATTTAAATATTCTATAATGCATGTTATCATTAATAACATTTATATTTCAATTTGAAAAAAAAACTTAACTTAAAATACGCAAAATATTTTATCGACTTCACCATTAGGAGAGGAAATATCTCTCAGTCGATTTCTGGCCATTGTTTTTGGTTTCCTGGCATGAACTCTCATGATGGTGGCCAGCCAGTGGAGTACCAGCAATCTGAGCAGCTTAGGAACTGGACGCTCAGCGTCTCTATGGTGCAAATTGAGAATGACGACCGTTAAACATACCGACAATGTGCCCAGTGCCATTGTGCAGGTCAGGTAGATAACTGCTCGTTGTGGGGCAGTTTTTAAAAAAATTTTATTCAGAACCATCATCATCGTTTGTTGGCATTCATTTTTATTTTTAGTAGTAAAACTAATCTGACAGATTTATTTTGATTTGTGCGATTCTACTTTAAGCTTATCTTTTTAAAATTTTGTACATTGAAAGCAAATTAGTCCTTTTTATTGCTAGTCGTTTTAAAAACTTAGAAAATATAGGAGAGCAAATAAGACAATGAACAACGGAGAGTAAACAGTGAACCCAGTCAACCAACGTTCCTGATTAATGAATGGCACACTGTTCTTGCCACATTGTTCTTTGCGAGCAGTTCTTTCATTGTTTTGTCACACAGAATTAAACAAACAGGATCAAGCTCGTTTCGTTAACACATTTTTTTAAACAAACATTTAAATAGAGCGCACGTGTCTATAAAAATGTTGTGAACCTCTTAACCAACAGCACTAACCAATGATTGGAGTGTGTAGGGATGTGCGTGGTACATTCTCTGCAACCATCAGCAGGAACACTGTGAATGCCAGCAACACCGATATACCGAGCGATATTTTCTCGCCGGCATCTGGCGGCAAGCAGAAGACGACCATGACCAGGATGGAGAGGAGCGTGCAGGGCAGGATGATGTTCATGACGTAGAACATGTGTCGACGCTTCAGGAATAGAGTGAACTCAACGAATGGGTAGCGAGTGTTTGGACAGCAGGGCAGAACATTTTCCTTCCACTCCACTTTCGTGTGGTAGATGTCCCACTCTCCGTTTAAACGGAAATCGTGAGTTAATACCTGTTAAGAAGGATCGAGCAATGTATGAACATCAATCAGCGTGCAGGCGTGCAATGTCGCTTTGTTCATTTCTAGTTTTGACCCAAAGTTAGTACGTATTATACGTAAGGTACATTGCGCGATTAAAATGTATGCACAAGCACAAGCATGATGAAGGTAACTAAAAGGAAAAATTTTTGAGCATCTGTGTTTCTGCTAGAGTTGTTTAAAAATTAAAAAACGTTAAATATTTCTCAAATAATGAAAATTTATAAACATTTGTTGAATGAAATAATGAAAATAATTTTGTTTAAATTTTATTGCGTTAAAAAGTTTTGCGCGGTTTGAATAAAAATTTGAAAGTTTAATGATGTAAGAATGCATCTGTGTAACTATTCGTCATCACTGAGTAAGGATAACCTCGCTCGAAGCGTTCGTCATGTTCATCCGACTGCTGTAATAAGCCCATGCCCCGAGCTGGATAGGACAGGATTGGTCGTCGAACGGGAAGTACCTGAACAATCAATCCTTCTCATTATCAATCAATCCATCAAATTATCAATCAATCCATCTATCAAAAATCTTTCAATCAATCCATCTATCCAAAAACTCTTCAACTCCCTGTCACTCTGACATCACTTCATCGCCAAGCAACGACATTTATTAAAATCTTAAAAAAACCAAATAAACTAATGAACATCAAATTTGAAACACCGAGTTGAATTGAAGTATTCCATCGAATGGTCACTCGTGCGACATCAGTTGAATTTTCAATCAATCAATCAATCAATCAATCAATCAATCAATCAATCAATCAATCAATCAATCAATCAATCAATCAATCAATCAATCAATCAATCAATCAATCAATCAATCAATCAATCAATTAATCAACCAATCAACCAACTAACCAATCAATCAATCAACCAATCAGTCAATCAACCAATTAATCAACCAATCAATCAACCAATCAATCAAACAATCAATCAAACAATCAATCAATAAAATTGATTGTCGGTCGATGGATTAAACAGTCCATCTATTACTGCTTGATCAAAAGAAGCACTTAGTAGTCTGCTCGATGGAGCGAAACCAGTTTGCAGTTGGTTTGCAGTTGACGACGATTCAACATGCAGTAGGCAGTCAGTGATTAACGAGCACTGTTATTAACTGCAGTCGCTGACATCGTTAATTTACTTTTTTGTTTATCTACTTTGCTCCCAAGTATCATTTCTGCCTCTTTCATTTTTGTTTCCATTAATTATTCATCTTCTATTTTTTACAGGACTAATAACACAACCACACTGGTACACACTTACATAGCATAAACACAGCCAAACATCCACTTGCTTGATATCAATACAATTACCCCTCCACAACAATACACCACACACCACTACGCACCTCCACAACAATACACCACGCCACACACCACTACACACCTGCACAACAACACACCACCACACACCTCTCCATCAACACACCACACACCACTGCACACCTCTTCATCAACACACCACTACACACCTCTCCATCAACATACCACCCACCACTACACCGACCTGATATCGATATCACAAGTCGTCGTGAAGACACCTCCAGGCTCCCAATGTACGTGGCCGTCGTGCTGAACCAAAATGCGAATTTTGCGGAAATCTGGTGAGAGTTCGTCGGCTCTGTGGACATTCCAAAATTTGTGCTTCAATATTTTAGCGACTGATATTTCATTCATGATATTTTTTGTACGTTAAAACTTAAATAAATTATTATCATCAAGTTGAATAGATCTCATTAAAGAGTACTTGGTTCTTAACAATGTTTTATTGTAACAAAATTAAATAAAGAATTATTCAGTAAACGAGTTAATTAAAAAATTATTTCCGAAAAATGTGGAAAAAGGATCTGGTGACCACCAACCCGTTCATGAGTGCCAGTTCAGGCAGCCAGACTCTCTCTGGCTTGATGACGATGTCCCTGATGCCTTCGTACTCCGAGCTGTTCCATTTCAATCGACCGTCGTCCCAATCCTGGACGTGTTAAATAATTTGTACGGCTTGTTCGTGTACGGTGATTGAATCAATGCTGTGCATGTTCTTGTTTGTCTCTGTGTACATGCAATGCAAGTGTGTGTGTGGGTGTGTGTGTGGGTGGGTGTGTGTGTGTGTGGGTGTGTGTGTGGGTAGGTAGGTGTGTTGCACGAGTCTTTGTATCTGTCCTATCAAATTGTAGGATTTCCAATAAAATGGAAGTTTTTTAATTTTTTTCCAGTAAACACGCCCACAATTTCTTTCACTTGTGCATGCAAAGTCGAGTGTGTGCTGGCTTCACGACTTGTTTATTCGTTATCACTGCCTATTGTTGCATGTTCACGCAGGCGGATGTTGTCGCAACATCAACTTACGCACCACCTGATTTATAAACAAACAAGTTACATGATGTACATAGCAGCATATTTGCACACGTGTATGATCTACTTAGAACTATCGCTTACAAATCTTCTCACATATGGATTGATGAACATACACACTTACAAACAAAATAAAATCTCATCTGCAAACAAACATATGAACATAATATGATGCACAGCACAAACAAGTCTGCACACATGTTTTTTAATTGGAGCAACTCACACAAAAAATTACAAATTGGTTGGAAAAAGTTTCAACATAAATCAAACCTAGCTTGGCATTTTTATTGATTAAAAACAAAAGTGAAAACAGCTTATAAAAATTTTGAATTTAAAATGTCGACCAAATCATCGATCCGCACATTCGTTACGCTACGCTGTGTTTTTTAAAAAAAAACACTTCTCCATACAAATCGAAATAAAATGTGAAAAAACGTCGTATTTCACAATAAGTAAATAAACAAACAATTTCATTATTAATAAAACTAACTATATTACGACGTAGTTAAAAAAATTTTGGATTGAGATGATCATAAAGTGGTCATTAAAAAGGAAATAGCTTGAAGCGTATTAAAAACACACACACAGAAACTGACATACACACATACCCCATACACACGCACGCATACACGCCACACACACACACACACACACACACATACATACATACATACATGCACACACACCAACGTACATAATCACATAATTATGTTTTATTAACGTGCTGCTCTCAATGCCAATTATGGAATTTTATTGAGACTTTATTTGATGTTGAGCACGACCGCCAGATTTTTAAATGTTGAATGTTTCGATTATCTATGATTTGATAAATTTACGTGTATAAACCAATTAGCCAATCACATTTAAGCAAACAAAACAACACAAATTCATATAGTTACGACAGAACAAAATTAAAACAAGCAAGCAAGGCAGGGCAGCCACGAATTCTAACGCGTGTAAACAGCTAGCCACTGTTGCCGAACTTCGCAATTTCCTTTCAAGAAATTTACATTTTGATCCCAAGCAAACTTGACTTGACTAGCACATTTATATTTGTATGAAATGGTAATTAATTGCTTATTCGCTTTTTAATAAGCCAGCAATATGGATGCAATCACTTTTAAAACGTTTCTAATGCGAATATCATTAAGTAGGTAGTAAGGACAAGCGAACGTTTGAAGCCGACGAACTACAAGAAAGAAGACGGATTGCTTACCGCAACTTGGTAGTTTTTATTAAATTTTTATTTTAATTTAATAACTCAGTAAGAAGAATTCTTGTGGTTAAGCCGCCCATAACTAAATAATTGTACAACTGAACGAAAGATTTTTATCTACCAACATATGAATCATCAATAGAAACATACATGTTCGTGAGGAACGTAATACAATTTTACGAAAGTTTATTTCAAAACAAGTTTACAAGTTGTAGGTTTTGTACAAGATTTACAAAAAAAAAATCTTAAAAATAAATAACAGTAAAACTATGAACATTGCAAGCGTTTTTTTTCTTGAAGGATGAAACTGACAGCCCAACAACTGAAAAACATATGAAATATGTGTCTATATATATATATATATACATATATATATAGTGTGTGTGTGTGGTGTGTGTGTGTTTGTGGTGTGTGTGTTTAATGTATAATTGGTGTGAATATTTTTTGCTGAGTGTGTACAGTGCACAAAAAGTGCACAGATGAATAGGAATGGATTGGACAGGATGGGATGCAAAGCGATACGTAACAATACAAAATGATACAAAATGATACAAAACGATAGAAGGATACTAACACAGATTATAAGGCCTGTCGTTGTCAACACTTGAGATCGTTCATCCTGTAGGAGCGTGGAATGTAATGTAACACCATGGTCTCACGTAATGGAATGTGATAGAATGTAAAGTGACATTATGATGTGATGTAACAGCACGGTGTGATGTAAGGGAGACAGCATGACAAGCAGAAAACAAACAGGTCTTAATGAAGAAAGGAATTTGTTGCTACGGCAAGCCTGATCGACAACATGGATTATTTCAATTGACAATAAATTTTAACGAGAACAAGACAACTCACTACCAAAATAACAAAATGAAAAACAAAATATTTGTAGATAAATTAAACAAATTGAAGAAAAACTGAAAACTCAAAGAAAAATAAAATTGGAAAAAATACCATTTATCATCGAACATTTTTAATATTTTGTGATAAAATGATAAGCAAAAAATTAATTTTATTAATGTCATCATTTTTTTTCATCCACAATATCACCAGAGTTACTATGATAATCACCATCTTTGTTAAATTAAATCACCATACATGAAATGTTAATATCAGAATTATATAAATTTATTAACGAAGCCAATGATGCTTCCATAGATCCAGAACAATCACTATCATCGAGTACACTCACAAAGGACGAACATTAGTTCATTCCATTTTTACTTCAAATAACGTTTCAACAAACGTCACAATGACATCATCATTGATGAATCAAGTTGCATGATTAATGCTATCTACGCTCGTCCTCGCATTTGAGATAACATCTGTATTCGTCTTCATCGTAATTTTAGTCTAAGTCGTCATCATATTCATCATCGTCATCATATTCATCATCATCGTATTCATCATCATCATATTCATCCTCATCATCCTCATTATATATTTATATCCATTCTTGCAATCATTATATTAATTTTCATCAAATTTTAGAGTTTTTCCTGTCACGAACATTTACATACATCAGCTGTTTTCATCAATTCGAGAGTTCGTAACAAAATATTCACTAATCTCAAGCATCTACGTTTCCATTACTATCAACAACTATAACACAAACAACATGATGACTGAATAACAATAACGACGTTTTTAAAATTAATTAAAACAGCCAAAACGCCAAAAATAAAAAATCTGTAATAAGTCGTTAATGTTTAAGCAGTAAGAAGTGCCTGAAAGTTGGACAGTATCGAATTAGAGCTTTCTTGAAATGAGAGGTTAACAAATGTAAAGTTAGGTGGAAGTCCTTTGTCTTCATAATGGGCTGCTAGTCAGTTCTTGCGTGGAACATAAATTAAGAAGTAACATACAGTGGTGGAGATGTGGGGATAATATTTGCATCTATTTATAAAATTTAAAAAAATCGTACAATTAAGCTTCGTTTACCACTTTCTATACATACAATTATTAAAAAATATTACTGCATTTTCAACTTTGATCAATTTCAGGTTCAATGTTTCAATATTTCGTACGTATTTTTATCACTGTTTTTTAAATACGGTGCAAAATATTGAAAAACTGAAACAGAAACTGATCTAATCTGAAAATGCAGTGATATCTTTTAATAATTGTATGCACTTGCACAACAGTCTCAACCCTAGCCTAATTATCTACACAGATATATTTACATATATTTGTGTGTGTGTCTGTGTTTGTACTTTTTAATGTGCAAACAGAGCATGGTATGGTTATGTAATTATTTTTATATAAGCTAAATTTCTTCCTTATTTCCATATTTCTGTTGGGTTTAGGCCACCACAGGCAAATCTTAACTCAGCCGCAGTGAGGGGCCATTCAGAGATTGAGGAGAACCGCTGAAATTCAAAAACTTTGGGTCGAAATCAGAATCATTGAATGCTTTCTAAGCATGGTTGACTGGATGCAGTGCATATTTGTATGCCGCAACGACCCAAATTTGATGTCCACGAACTACATCCTTGTCATCTGCAACAACATCGCTGATAACAACATCAAATGACATCAAATGACGCCGACATTGTTCACAAACTCATTCACATATGTAAACAACTTCAACCTCACCATAACCAAAAATACTAAAAATATTAAAATTAACAACACCAACAACATCAAATACATTATCGAAATCATTATCACCATCATCAGTAACAAGGTGGGATAGATGATGGATGACTATTCCTTTCTTAGGCTCCTCCTGCTTGTTGATTCTGAATTTTAAGAAATGATTTGTGGGCGGTTGAGAGGCCTGAGAAGTTCAACAAAGTTAATTAATTAATGTGCGGCTTTGTATTCTTTCTATTGAATATGAACAACAAATGTTAGAATAATGTTTTACTAAATTTTTATTTTAAAAACGTGATTTTTTTTTCTGAGACGGTTTGTAGCATTAGTTTGTACTTTTTTTTGTCTTACTTGTGTTTTTTTGTTTGAAAAAGTTATTAATATTGACGCTGATGTTATTGTTAATTTGTGGTTGGCAGTTGTTGTTCCGCTAACTGGATGGTTTGATTTTGATCGCCCTTAAAATTTTAATATTTTTTAATATTTTAAAATTATAATTTGCCTGTTTTCATCTTTCCTGTTGCTTTTAATTGAAACATCCATTATCGGTCCATGGAGATTTTGTAGAGGAACGGGTTAATAAATTTCTTTGGTAATCTTTAAATCTTCAATTAACTTTGAATGATGTTGGAGGAATAAATTGAACAACTTATTTGGACAAGATAAACAGAATGATGCAACGGATCAAAATTACGTAAATAAAAATTAGTAAACAGAGTTGTTGAAATTAAATTATATAGAAAATAATAAAATAAACAATTAAAAATAAACAAAGTAATGTAAACAAAACAAACAAAATAATAAAAAGCATTTTAGAAAAATTAATGTGTTGTTACAAGAGCCAAAAAAGTAAAATGTTCTTAATATAAAAAATAAAAAACAGAACCAAATATAAAACATTTTCAACGAACCAAAACAACAGAGGCAAATGACATGAAGCACCATCATACAACATTATACACACACACAAGAGAACTGAAAATTATGCAAAACTACAAATTTTTTAAAAACACTTAACTAATAGTTGCTCTATATATGCAACAATAACAACAACAACGTTTCACAACAAATAAACTCAATGAGAATCATTTAAAATCTCAAATCCATTAAAAGAAAAACTACCTGTTGGTAAAACATGTCTATCAGTTTTGGAAAAACAAACATCAACTCATTGAAAACAACAGCAAGCAAACAATAATAACAGCAACAACTTCAAGAATAACATCGTAAATAACAACAACAACAACATCGTGAATAACATCAACAACAACAAACCAATCCATGAATTCTAAGCAGCAGAAGTTGGATCTTAACAACCACGGGATCCAAGACATCAAGGACTCCCCTTGCATCAACGTCGTAATCATGCAACAACCTCCTCAACAACTCCTGCTCCATTAATCCCGCTCTGTTGTTGTTGTTTTTGTTGTTGTTATTGATGATGTTATTGTTGCTATTGTCGTTGCTGTAGTCATTACAATCATCATCGTCGTCCTCATCATCATTTTTGTTGTTGTTGTCCATGCAGATGACATAAGCGCAGTTATTATCCATATTGTTGTTGTTGTTGTTGTTGTCGTTGTTGCGTTTGTTTGCGTTGTGTGCCTGGGCGTCATCATTTGATTTTTTATTAATCTTGTTCTTACAATTTAATTTGATTTTTTTATTTTGGTTGGTGTGCTTATCATTGCTGTGAAGGTAATTGAAGTCATCATAGTCGTTGTTGTTATTGTTGTTGTCCAACAAATCATGATTGAAGTTGTTGTTGTTGTTGTTGTTGTTGTCCAACAAATCATGATTGAAGTTGTTATTGTTGTTGAGGTTAGTCTCAAAATCAATTTGTGTAATAACATTTTTTGATTCGTTGTCAAAATCAACCACAAAATGGTTGACGTCATTTTCCTCTCCGTCCTTCAACTTCACTTGCAAGTTCCCTGCGCTAGAATCAGGAAGTTTAGATTTTCTATCGTCAATGTTATTCTTATTATTGTTGTTAACGTTGTTGTTGTTGTTATTATTGTTATTGATGTTATTATTATTGTCGTGGTTGTTGTTTACATAAACTTTGCTGGTTATTTCATTCTTTATTTTCTGGTTGAAATTTGAAATAAGCTCGTCGTCGTAATTGCCATCACTGTTCTTGTTGTTGTTGCTATTGACATTGTTGTTGTTGTTGGCATTGATGTTGTTGTTGTTGTTGACACTAATGTGATCATTAAAGTTATTATTGTTGATGTTATAGTTGTTAATATCGTTGTGATTGATGTGGTTATAATCGTGGTTTAAGTCGTCGTTGTTAATGTTGTTGTGGTATTTGTTAATGTTGTTGGCGTTATAACCGTTTTTATTATTTCTGTTGGGTCTGTCGTTGTTGTGTTTGTTGTTGCTCAGCTTTATGTTGTTGACATTGTAGAGGACCTTATTGTGGGTCGAACGTTTCTCGCGGCTGGCTGCATCAGTCGGGTAATATGTGGTGTGGCATGTCATGGATGTAATGACGTGATATGGTGACGTTGTGATGTTGTCTGATTGGATGGCAATTGAACTGATAAAAAGTGATTAAACTGTTAAAATTTATTGTTTTTTTACTTTCTTTTTTTACTTTCTTACTGTACTTGCTTTAGAGGTCTCAACGACAAGTACACACACACAACACACACACACACACAAAGTGTACGTGCCATCATTCTGGTTAAAGCCAGAAGACCACTCATTTTGTATAATAGGCGGAATCCCTTGCATTCAAACCAGGTTACAGCAAAACAGTAACAGATGTTTTTTAACATTTTGCCACTCATCTCTCCAATGTGGCGTAGATTGGGTGTGATGTTTAAATGATGTTTAGTGCTGTTGAATTGATGTGATGTAATTTGATGCTGAAATGATGTGTTGTTGATTCAGAGAATGGCGAGCGGTTAATTCATGGGATCTCATTGTTACACACGGACATCCTGAAATACGCTCGTCTGTTCGACCTCAGGCATTAATCAATATTATCATTATCAGTCTTATCACCGTCGTCGTCATTGTCACAGTTTGTTTACCACCAATGTTAACATCACGATAATAGTGTTAGTTGCAGTGTCTGTGTTTTTGAATCCAATCTCATAAAGTGTTTGTGTGTGTATGTGTTTTGTGTGTGTGTGTATGTGTTTTGTGTGTTGTGTATGTGTTTTGTGTGAGTGTTGTGTGTGTTTTGTGTGTTGTGTCTGCGTGTTGTGTGTGTGTGTGTGTGTTGTGTGTGTGTGTGTGTGTGTTGTTGACACCTCTGAAAATTAAGATGAATTGATGAAGATAGTAATTATAATAATAATATGAATAAAATAAAGTATATAAATAATATGTGTAATAGTATTACTATTTTAATGAGACAATTTGTATCCATTTGAATACTAATGATATTACTAATCGCCATCGTAATAATAACGACAACGTTATTAATCATGTTATTTCATTAACATCACAATTCAATGACATACAAAAAGACTTTTTCTTTTATTTTCTTAGTAAGTAAACGTGTTTCTAGTTAATTTTAGCACGTTGGTTTTAAATCTGTAATCCGTTTCTTTGTATCACATCAAATTTTTGAAAAAACTTCAAATAAAATTTTACTCACTTTCATTTGTTATTGCTAACAGTTATGAAAATTATATGGTCATTATAATATAAAAAAAATTCTATCAAGACTTTAATTAGTTGAGAAAAGTCATTTCATTTGAAAATTATTTGAAAATGATATTTAAGAGCGTTTTTATTGCTGATTAAAACAAAACATGTTGACTAAAATTGCATATAAAGTTTATGGAAACGGCTTGAGTGTTTTGCAAACAGACTTTTGACAGTGTTCAACTTCTGGGGCATCAGTCACGTTGCAGAAGCCGGCTGTAACCAGCAAACACAGCTTACTCCATCCTTCCTGTTGGTGTGATTCCATTAAAGCGATTTCCTGGTTGCACGCTTTCCAAGCTCACCACTCACTTTGCCAATTCATACAAGCATATTCATATGCTTATGATTTCACAAGAAATTGGCAACAAAAGATCTGACAGCGTCTTTTTTAAAAACGGTTATGTTGTGAGCGTTTTTCTTTGGAATGCAATGTGATAAAGGAAAATGATTTTCAGATTTGAAATCAGCGTAAAAAATTATATAGAAACATTGAATGTTTTATAGGAAAGAAAAATCATGTATGTCAGTATCACATTTCAGCATTTATGAACCTCAGTTTGTGTTTGTGTGTGTGCAAGTGTGTGTGTGTGTGTGTGTCCAAGTATTCAAGTTTTTATGGTTTTCATGTAAAGAATTGTGTGCGTGAGTCTGTGTGTGCGTGCGTTTCGGTGCGTGCGAGTGCATGTGATTGTGTGTACACTAAAAGGTTCCATGTAAAAGAGACATAGAACCAAGCTTACACATTTTATTATGCTTATTCGCAAATGAAATGACTGACTTCTCATCCATTATTTCATATCCATCATTTGATTTTCATCTATTCAATCTCATCTTTTGTTACTCAATTCTATCTCTAATATTGAATCATCGCATGTGTCTTTTGTACGCTCAACTGCTGAACAATTTTTTTAATTAAATGTTTTAGCCATTCATTTTATTTTTCATTTAGGTTGGTTTAAAAAATTAAATGACTTTTAATTGAGTTGGAAATTTTAAGAAAAGAGGATTACGTACTATTAATTTCTTTCGTAATCTAATCATGACATTTTTTGACACCTTACATCTTATAAGTATGCATTCACTTTTTGTGTGCTATACAAATAAATAAATTAAATTAAAAATAAAAACAACTTACACTCAATTGAATCTAATGTATTTGGTGATGTTCTATATTGCTTGTCTGCTTTGCTTGGTTTGTGTGATTTGAGATATGAGACCAAAATCTTTCGAGGTGTTTGATGTTTACAAGAGTTCACGATGAATAATTGTAATTCATTATAGATAATTATTTTTTTAACTGTTGTAATGACTTTGTCGACTGCTTCAATAAATTTGACAACATTATAAATCTTTAAAATTTTGAAATAAATATTTTTAAACCTTCCGACAAGCAGGAAGCACACTGCACACCTAAGCAAAACAACAACAACAACGCAGCAACAACAACAACAACAGCACAACAACAACAACGCAGCAACAACAACACAACAACAACAACAGCACAACAACAACAACTTCTACTACAACTGCAAAACAACAGATTGTCTGTTGCATGCAAACACAAACAAAACAGGAATGCACATTTATGACTCCGTCCACACAAACGAGCCACCCTTTTAGCGCTAGACAAACTGCAAAATTATACTAAACAAATTTACGCTACTTTTTCAACACAGCATCGCTAGGTGTGTTTTTTCAATGCCAAATTTTTGTAAAAAAAAAAAAACTTGTCTAAAATTTCAAATTTTGCTATTATTCTTGATTTGAAGTAACTCTTATCATAAATTAACGAAATCAATTGCCGGCGAATTGTTGAAGATTACCTAAATTCTCATCTGTTTCGATAAATGATACACTGCTTATATTTTCTTTTTATCACGTGTCAGAAAAAGTTGAATGATCGTGATTTTCCGGCTCAGGTTGCTGCTTCACTACCAGATAACTCGAAAGAGGAATTGAATGATGAATTGGAAGGTGAATTGAATGATGAATTGAAAGATGAATTGAATGATAAATTGAAAAACGAATTGGTAAATTGAAAAATGAATTGAAAGATGGAATTGGAAGGTGAATTAAAAAATTAATTTAAAGATGAATTGGAAGGTAAACTGAAAATGAATTGAAAGATGAATTGGAAGGTGAATTAAAAAATGAATTTAAAGATGAATTGGAAGGTAAATTGAAAATGAATTTAAAGATGAAGGTTAACTAAAAATGAATTAGAAGATGAATTGGAAGGCGAATTGAAAGTGAACTTAAAGATGAACTTAAATATAAATTTGAAGATGAACTGAAATATGACATGGCTTGGGCAAGGTGGCTACAAATAAGATGATCACGTCTGTTCTCATCATTCCGAACAATTAAAATCTGTTAGACCATTACACATGCACATAAACCAAATCAGATGTTTATAAATTACAATGAAATCGTTGCAATTGTAATATGTTAATACTGAATCGAAATTTTAGGTATCATCTAAATAGTTTCAAACAGACTTTAAATCATCGTGAGTACTTTTGTTTCTAGAATCGCGCTATATAAATATATTTAATAGAATAATTAAAGTTTATAATTTCTAAAAAAAATTTTCAAATTTTCTCTGAAAAACTTAAAATAATAAACCTAAAAGCATTAAGGAAACACGAGACCTGTTCTAAACAAGGCAATTTAAGCACATTTGAAATTTCTTGTCATGTTTTATTGACCAGCCTTTTCAATAGCGTCACAACTACCATTTT